TCTTTTTTGTGAACCGTTAGGTTACATTAGAAAAAACACAAATTATATTACAGTTCTATAGATAAGGGAAGACTTATTTATAATTATGTTGTTCATTTTTTATGCATTTACCCATAATCTATAGTATATAAAATTTTTAGAATTCTTAAGCAACCAGGTATACACATGTATTGTGTATGTTGCCTACCAAATAGGAACTCGAATATAACTAATAAGAAAAGAATGAAAATCTCGAAAACTGGTAGAGCTAGAGAGGAACTGAATGCATTTTTGGATTGGTTAGCGCCATTATAGTTCACCGGAATATTTTTAGATTTTTTTTTCTAAAAAGTTTTAAGAAAATCGAAGGTCCACGAATATTGGCAAAAAATTAAAGTGTTTTTCCAAAGGCGGTTCTGTACGCAACTGGGATAGCAAAACACGCTGTAGGATCAGTTTTTTTTATAATTGAGGAAAAAAATCGAAAGGAAGAACCGACTTTTTTCTGTGTAGGTGAGATGTATTGTTTCCATGGTTTTTTTTTGTGAACCGTTAGGTTACATTAGAAAAAACATAACTTATATTACTGTTCCATAAATAAAGAAAGACTTTTTTATAATTGCGTTGTTCATTTCTTGCGCATTTACCCATAATCTATAGCATATAAAATTTTTAGAATTTTTATGCAACCAGGTATACACATGTATTGTATATGTTGCCTATCAAATAGGAGCTTGAATACAACTACTATGAAAAAACTCGAATATCTAAAGAACTAGTAGAGCTAGAAAAGAATTGAATTCAGTTTTGGATTGATTAGCTACCGGAATTTTTCAGAATTTTCTGAGTCCTAAAAATTTTTGAGAAAATCGAAGGTCCACGAAAATTGGCAAAAATTTAAAGTGCGTTTCTAAAGGCGATTCCGTAGGCAACTGAGATAGCAAAACACGCTGTGAAGGTCCGTTTTTTTGTTGATGGAGGAAAAAAATCTAATGAACCAAATTTTTTCTGTGTAGGTGAGATGTATTGTTCCTATGTCTTTTTTTTGTGAACCGTTGGGTTACAATAGAAAAAACAGTAATTATATTACTGTTCTATAGATAAGGGAAGACTTATTTATAATTATGTTGTTCATTTTTTATGCATTTACCCATAATCTATATATAAAATTTTTAGAATTCTTATGCAACCAAATATACAACTGTTTGTATATGTTGCCTACCAAATAGGAACTTGAATACAACTATATAATAAGAAAAAAATCGAATATCTCGTAAACTAGTAGAGCTAGAAAGGAAGTGAATGCAGTTTTAGATGGGTTAGCGCCGTTACAGTCTATCGCAACTTTTTCAGAACTTTGCGAGTTCAAAAAATTTTGTGCTTTTCTAAAGCCAGTTCCGTATACAATTGAGGTCGATGAACATGCTGGCATAATAGGTTTCTCTCATAGAAATTTAACTACAAAAAGTATAACAAAGTTTTCAAAAAAATTAAGAGAGCACGTAAGCATCCCAATTTGTTAAACATTAACTTATTAAAAATTAAGCATTCTTCTTTATGCATTTTCTATTGTCCATCGTTAATTGCACCGACTATATGGTTTACCCTAAATTTGTGTCAAGTACAAACATGTGACAATATAAAGTAGATGAATTGGAATAAATAAATAATACATTTTGAACATAATTTTATTAAGAAATTTAAAAGTCATTCTATGACTTATTAACATTTTACAATTTAAATGTGTAGAGTACATTTTATTGCAAGTATCACTTTTCTACAAACCTGCGTTCAAGCTGACACTTGTGTGCTAACTTAAGTTATCTAGTCCAAATGAAAACCAACTGCTCCCTCTACTTGGAATTAGAAAACTACAATTGACACGGAAATTACTCGAAAGAGACTAAAGATAAGAAAAGCACAAGATATTTGCAAAAAAAATATAACGAGATGAATATAAATTAAAAGTGATTCAATCTAGCTTTATTAGTCTTCATATTGGCTCAGATATTCATTTACTCGCAGACTTATCCTGACCTAAAAAAATATTGTTCTGACATGGTCACTTAACAAAGAACTTATCTAACATAAGAATCGATATTTGACAAACGTATCTCAAATAACAGCTTCTTTTGAGAAATTTATTACCTAGTATCTTTTCACTATTGTATCATGAACTCTACAAAAATTAATCTCATATTATTACAACATATACCAATAAAACTAATTTATAAAAATTTCGATACAATTATTTACAAGATGCAACACTTATTAAAATTTTAATTTCTTACAGGAAATAATTACGCTACAATTTTTTTTGTTCTTAAAAAAGTTATTGCTTGCTTAGTTAATAACCAGAACCAAATGTTATATATTAATTATAAATTTGAAATAAATTACTCTAACACTATAGCAATATTGAAATTTGATTCGAGTATTGTATTGACAAAATTGTTTTTCTATGGCACATTTCTTTAAAAACTATAAATGTTATTCAATATAAGATTTCTAACAGTAATTGAGTATTTGAAATTAATATTTAATTAAAAAAATGAGTGTTTTTAACACAGTTCAGTTTTTTCGCTACCCTTATATCTCGATTATTTGGAATTTAAACGTTTTAACATTTTAATACGAAATAATTACTTTCAAAGAGAATATTTTGACATAACTAATTTGACTTTATCCACAGGCATCCAGTCCTAAAATTGAAAAAGAGGCAAACTTCCAAAAAAATTATGTTAGCAATTTTTTTCCCGAAAAGTTAATACGATTATAATTTACCACCTCCAGAAACTTGTTGCAATCAAATTTCAATTAAACAACTTTAGAAGTCTTCAAGATATACCCAAAAACTTGTTTTTACTGTTTGTTGTTTATAACGTTATAATACTCGAGCATTTTTTTTATCTAGCCGGCAATAAAAATTCAGCGTAAAAATTATGTTGCAGGTAACTATTTTGTACTAAAATTTCAAAACCTTCCATTTTCAAATAATCAAGATATAAAGGTCCATGAAAAATGAAACACGGTGTAGGTCCAATAATCTAAAATTATTTTAATCAATTCCGGCGCAAAAAGGAATAAAGTAATTGAAAATTACGAAAATTACTTAATACCTAAGATTCGATAATCTTATTAATGAAAAATATTACTAATTAATCTTTCTATATGTATATTAATATAAAAAAACCTAATTCTAAAAACATTAGAAGGAAAAATTAATTCTGGAATTATGTGTTTACTGTATTTGTCACAGACTAAAATAAAAACACATACTGGAATGTTTCTTGATATCGTGTAGAGAAAAATATTATATAAATAAACGTAAAATAGGGCTTGTACATATAATACATAAATGTTTATATAAATTATTTAAGTGCTACTGTTTAGAACCGTATATACCAGATCATCCTACGACTCAAGATTCAAGCTGAACTTAGTAGTATTTAAAATGAACATGTTTCAACAAAATGTGATTTACACCACTGTCGTAGATGATTTTAATTAAAATGTATCAAAAAAAAATTGTTATTGAGAAAAAGCACTGAAGCTAATTTTGGTACACCAAAAAATATGATTTTGTTTTATCTTGAGACATAACTTGGATTAGAACGTATAAAACCTTAAGGCAAGTTTTGACTGCCAGCCTCGTAATAAGTATACAGGGTGGCCCACGGAGAACTGCGTCGATCGATATCTAGGAAAGTACTGCTCCGAAAAATTTAGCAACATAGCAATGTGCCTGGTGCGAGCACAACTAAAATATCTAAAACTCTCCAGTACTTCCGGTTATACCGGAAGTCGACACCAACTTCATTTTTGCATTTTCGTATTCTACGTTAAATTTGAGGGTCACTTTATTAAATCAATCGGATTTTCGATACCTATAAATTGAACACCCTGTACTTTCTTACTCGGTCGTATGCAGATTGAAATTTCCTTTCTAGCCATATAAGCATTGATATGGGTTGTCGTTACTACTTTAAGATATATTTGCAATTATCTATTCTTTCAACAGTTTTTCTCGTATCAAACCTGTTGTCAAATTAGCCATGACCAGAAACACTCCATAAACAATTGAAGTAACATGACATTTGTCAAATTATTGTTGTCTGAATAGTTTTTGCCGAAAATTTAAATAAAAATCCCTGGGGTTCGTTTAAATTATACTAATGAGGATTATTCTAATTTGTTTGTTATTTACGGAAAATGTAATATAGTAATTTCAAGAACATGTAGAGAATCTGCTGTTTTTTTCCATAAATAACAAACAAATTAGAATAATCCTTATTAGTATAATTTAAACGATCCCCAGGCATTTTTATTTAAATTTTCGGCAAAAACTATTCAGACACAACAATAACTTGACAACTAACTTGGCAGATGTCATATTATTTCAATCGTTTTTGAGGTGTTTTTGGTCACGGGCAATTTGACAACAGTTTTGATATGAGGAAAACTGTTCAAAAGAATAGAAAATTGCAAATATCTCTAAAAGTAGTAACGGCAACCATAAAAATGCTGATATAGCTTGAAAGGAAATTTCAATCTGCATATGACAGAATAAAAAAATACAGGGTGTTCCATTTAAGTTAACAAAGTTATAGCTGTTTGAGTTTTCAAAATGTAACAGCAAAAATGAAACACCTAGTATTAAATGTTTTAATTTGTTGGTATACCATAATTTAGCGTTACCTATTCTCTTTACAGGTACCAAAAATCCGCTTGATATCAGACTCCTGAAAATAGTTACTAGCATATCCGCGGACTCTTGCATTTGCCAAATTTTTTATTTAAAAATAAATATCTCAAAATCTATAACTCCTAGGTATAGGGAATGTTTAATAAAGTGACCCTCAAATTTCACGTAGAATACGAAAATGCAATAATATATAGGGTGACCCATTTAAAATAACAAAGTTGGTGTCGACTTTCGGTATAACCGGAAGTGCTAGATATTTTAATTGTGTTCGCCCCAGGGACATTGCCATGTTGCCAAATTTTCAAATTCTTCGGAGCAGTAGTTTCCTAGATATCGATCGACAGATTTCCCGGTGGGACACCCTGTATAAGCAAAATTTGAACAGTCTGTGTTTTATACAGGAACAGCTTTTCTCATAAAATATATATTACAGCAAGACACAGGGGAGTGAAGTAAGTGTTTTTTTTAAATAAAATCTATGGATTTTGAATTTTTTGTAAAAACTACTTATTTTTGAAAATAATTTTATTCGCAAGAAAATTGTTTGAAAATAGATACATTTTTAAAGCAGGCAAGATTTATGACAAGAAATCTGTTATAGAACATATTTTATATATTTAGAAAAAATACTATATCTTTTACGAATTATATAAAACTATTGAAAATCCCTTTGCTCATGCTAAAATAATACTTTAAATACTTGGATTTTCCCACAACTTAGGCCCCAAAACTTAATAGTATTAGTAGAATAAAGTAGTATGAATCCCACATAAATTGTACCATTTAAAGATAAAATAAACAGGCTATGTACAATATAATAAATAAAAAAAATATCATTTCTAATAAATACTATTCATTACGAGTAAACATACTGCTATATAGAACTTTTCTCTTGACAATTAAGACAAATAAAACAAGTAAAATTGTTTTTTATAATAAATCTACCTAATCGTTCAAATTATAGGAAAACGGTGAAAATATATTGGATATTTATCTGGACAACCCAATTAAGAACAACAACTTGATACAAATAGATGAATCTGAACATTTACAGTTATTTTATCAATTTAGATCAACAGGGCTATCTATTCTAAAATTTTTTATTTGTCCATGTTCTACAAGAGGAGTTGGTAGTTCATCATTATCTATCCTAATACGAATTTTATTTGTGTCCAGAAAAGAACACGGCACTTTCTGTATGTCGCCGTTATGAGGACTAGCAATTGGCGTATCTAAAGGTGAATACGGTACATATATTCTCAGAATATCGGGACTAGGATTGTGTGGTGTAGCTCTAGGCGTAGAGTGACTACTTACCGCTCTTTGGAGGCTGCTAGTAGCACCTATGCCAGAGCCTACGGAGCTGGCGCCTCCCACAGAGTTGTCAGACATGTTACTGTGTGTATCCAGGCTGTTTTCGTGCGCCTGCGATCGGGTAATCGTGGAGAATACCGAAAGGTCCGCAGTTGACGTTACGCTGGTGTCTGCTAGGGAACGTCTTGAACCCGTGTGTTCGCATTCGAGGAGGGAACTGGCGTCGTCGATGCTGGGATCAAAAGAAAATTTTGAACCTGCAATAAAAAACGACGTAAAACATGTAATATGCCCGTTAAAGGTAAGGACTCGGGAAGATTTTATGTAACGGTTAGCTCTGTGGTTCTATGTGGTAAATCGCAATGCAGTGAAGAGTAAATGATGAATGCATTTTCAGTGCATGCAGGCATGCTCCCATTCACGATTACATGACAGGTCTGAATTTAATAGCGTTAATAAATTTTAAGCGAAGAAAATTTATGTCCGAATACCCCAAACACGGCACGAGTCCCAATATGATCACTTTAATTTTCACTATTCGCCAACGGACAAACTTCTTTATGCAAATAAAAAAAATTCACAAAGTGAAGACGTTTTGTTGAACATTTGCTTTATACGTTTTTTTATCAAGCATAACTTTTCCATAAAATCAAAAATTATAATACTTTTCCTTTTATGGACTCTGACTTACTAGATATAAGAAATATGAAAATGAAAGATAACTAAAAAAAAATTAAGCTAACAACTTATACAAAAGCATATGTTGGACGGGAGTTTTTAGCTTCCTACAATGCAAATAGATACCTGGACTGTAATTTAATTCTTCCCAAATATCACAGTTCTTCATAATCTTAAAACCTTCTCCGATACATTCTAGGAACGGATTGGATATGTCGAAGTTATAGTCCTCTTCAAATAAAAACATATGTTTAACAAACTTTTTGCACGAAACTTTACTACTTAGCTTAAAAAAAGCAAACTTTACATAAAAATAGCTTACTAGTAATTATGTAGCGTTTTGTTCGATAAACTTAATAAAGTTATGGACAAAACTATCTTTAGATATATTTACAAACTTATATTTAGATCTCCCCCTGTCATCTCCGTTAGATTTTTACGGAAAATGCATTCAAAATTTACACGGTATTAGTCAAAGAATAAATATGAAAATTATTTTTCTCCTTACCATTTTGTTAACAAATTCACTGTACACACGTCACCTTTGCAAAATGCCACAGAAAGCAATGTGAAGTTAGTAAGATTCCACAAAATGTGACACAAGAAAAGCTCATACATTTATTACCATGTAGTTTGTAAAAATCATTTGAAACTTTTTCTTCATTGTCTTCATGTGCCGTTTTCAGCCCAGACTAGGGTGGGACCAGGAGATCAAAGAATTACCTACATCTAATCAAGAGAAAATGTTTTATTTCATGCGAGTACCATGCACACCTACCAAAAAACTTTGAAGGACTCCTGGAGACGTTATTCAAATGCTGATTGTAGGCAAAACTAGAATAATAGAGCTGTTTTACCAAACTAAGCCATTTGATAAAAAAGTATACAGTAAAAAAAATATTTAAACTATTTTTTAATAGTGAACGGTGAAAAATTGCGGGCCTAAAACACATTTTATAGAATTAACGTACTATTCTAATACAATGCAAAGCAGGAAGCGAGTTGTATTGTTTCTAAACTGTTTTATATTGCTTTTGCTACGCTACGGATAAAATTTTGATGAGACTCATAAAAAATCGGAATATTCCTTGATTAATTTCATTAACAAACCATTTTGTTAATTGCACTGAACAGCTTGAAGCATTAACAAAATTTTTAATAGAGTTTGATGCCTTCAAAAACCAAAAATTTATTTTGAAAACAATCACAAAAATAAGTTACACATCTTACACATTTTACATGAAACTGATCAAGAAATCCGAAAATTTAAATAACAAAGATCATTAAATGCTTTATGTATACAGGGTGTTTTTGAAGTCGATGCCATAACTTCAGGAACTTGTTCCTTGGGATATTTTAGACTAAAAGGATTTAAATAAATCGGGAATTTTTTTATCTTTTTGATTATTACATTGTGACAGTGTATTTAATTAGTTATGTCATTAGCTCAATCATCTTCACAGATATTTAAATAAACGTGATATATTTTTTTAAATTCAATATCTTGTGTCTCAAAAATGAGTAGTTTTAGACGCTTGCTTTTTACCCAAGGAGCAACCCTTTATATTTATGACGTAAACTTAAAAAACATCTTGTATAAAAGTCTAAGAAAACATTTTTGTTTTTAGGAGTTGCAGTAATAACCAAGTGACAAAAATTAAAATTGTTCTACCAATTACTAACGAAAAAACTACCCATTGAATTTTTTTTATGAACAAATTTCAACTCTATTGTAACACTTCTTTTAAGGGGTAAAGCCACTCTAGAATTTTGAAAATAGATTTTTGGATAAATGGTTTAACAATGCTTTATTATGTGAAGAATATAGGAAAAAGTTTTAGGTGGGGGAAAAATCAGGAGCACAAGTTTCTTCAAGGTGGAGCGCAACCACTCGCAGTGCTCTGCGGAAGTGTTTATTGTATCTGGTCTTAACAAGCACGATAGTAAGCTATTATGGACACCAGATCGAGTCTCGGATCAAGCCGAAAAGAAAGGATGAAGAAAATATCAATATAGAAAGCTTAATTATATGGTGCAGGCGTCACTGATTGAAGGTATACATATAACGAATTTCTTATGCTGAACAGCAAAAAACATAAAAGCGTTTTTCAAGAAATCACTTTTTTAAAAAGTTCTCAATCAATGGACTTGGAAATTTTATAGAAAGGTTCGCAATAACATAATTCAGGGAACATCATAGGAGTTTTAGGGTTAGTACAATATCAGAAAAATTTTTGTTTTTGTTCCAAGGCCACCCGTTACTAAGAAACCATTTCGGCCATTTAGCCCTCTAAAAAGGTGTTTTTGCTTTCCACCACCTACAGCCGCCATTTTGAATCCAAATTGTTAAAAAATTCCCAATACTACCTGACGACATGAATAATAACATCGTTTTGTTCCCGAAACTATATTTTGCATGGATTTTTCCTTTAAAATTCCAGAAAATCAATTTTTTTCCAACCTCTAGAGTAACGTTATGCCTTAATAAGAAGTCTAGTATGGTCTACATATTTGATACATTAGCTTGCTATTAATATCTAGAATTTAAATTGTACCTATATCGCATTATTTGTATTAGTAAAAGTGCCCGGCAGTGTTTAAAGTAACCGTGACAGGATAGTTAGTATATATTTGATGAAAAGGAAAAATGTTATAATGAAAAATTTAACAAATGAATTTTTAGTTATTAAACGCAGTTAGCAAAGATCTTGAAGACAGGAAGAATTCAAAAACGAAATTAGGTTATTTTGAAATAGGGCACGACATGACACCAAAACCCTTTAAAATGTGGTAAATTATATATTAGAATAAGTTTACATACCAAAATAAAAAAATATATTACATAAATTTCTTAATTAAATTCAAATATATACAAAACGGGAAATAAAAATCTGTACATACACTTAAGTACAAATTACATTTATAATTAACAAGCCATTTTTTTAAAATAGGAATAAAGAAAAAACATTTACAAAATGCTGAAAACATCCCAAACTTATTTTAACAGATACATATTAACAGTAAGAGTAGTTTATTGCACATAAAAAAAAGTAACATCGATGGCATTCAAAAATTTTACTTCATAAATACTATTTAATATTGCAAAACGGTACTGAAACTATTACAACTTAAAAAAAAGTATATTTACAATAACTGATTACAATATTTATCGAAAGGGAATGGATCATTTTATTGTTAGAACATTCGAAAACCCAGAGACCGGATGTAATAAAATGAAATGATAATAAAACTTTCCAAAATTATGTTGTTTGGCAATACTTAAATAAAATTTCTATTAACTTTTACTGCTTTTAAAAACATTCGAGACGAGAAGTGATTTAACCGGAAGACGATGGTAAAGATAAATTACTTTTACATTGACTTGGAAGTTTCTAATAAATATTAGAAATATTATAAATAAATCTTACATTACCAAAAAACACTAAATGTGATTCACTGCCTTGTCAGCAAAATTTGTTCTTATTTTATAAATATAGCTTAGTCAAATTCCCATTAATGAAAAAAAAATAATAAATGTAGATATAATCATATCTAAAAATACATAAACCATCAAAATAACAGTCATTTGGCAACTTCACCGACTTTTGTAAGAAATGCCGTAAGCTATGACTGCACAGTTTTTGGTCTTATTTTAAAAAGAAAAGTGTTGTTGGCTCCAAAAATACTATAAACTGACACTTACTATTATTTTTTTATCAACAACCACCTTAATGAGTGTAATTTTTACATTTTTTAAGGAACAGCACACAGTAGTGTTAAGAAACACTTCGTTGGTAGAAAAAGTCTATCAAATTAAATAAAAATATATATAGCGTCTTATTAAAGAAAAAATTATTAATCTTTTGTTTTTTAAAATCTGACCGAAAATAGCAGAGCTTTAACTAGCGGCTTTCTTGCAAGACACATATAGTAGGAAACTAAGTTGTCGAAACAATCACTGGAATAGTTGAATGATTTCCGGGCTGGTTGCCACGTGGTCGGTTTACAACACTTGACATTTCGAGAAACATATCGCTCTCTTTTTCAGAAGTTACTCAGTTCCAGAGTAACTTCTGAAGAAGAGAGCGATATGTCTCTCGAAACGTCAAGTGTTGTAAACCGACGACGTGACAACCAGCCCAGAAATCATTCAACCATTAACGACAGCTACGCAAGCCTACAAACAAAACCAAATCACTGGAATAGCTTTGTAAGTCGACTAAGCCATACGTAAGAAACCTACAGCACATATTAATAAAAAAAAAGTTAAAGCCTTGTGCATTCCTCGACACTGCTGCTAATACTATCACATATACTGCTTTTACTAGCTAATGTTGTGCAACTACCGAGAGTAGAATTATTTTCAGTATCAGTACCTGTGAATCCGACCGAGTCACCGACAGACAACTGGCACTCCCTATCTCTTTCGACAGCTTCCTTCGCAGCCTCACTGGTCAGAGTTATAATCTCGTTCGTCTTTTTCTCTTTTTCCGTAAACGTTTCCTTCCTTATACCGACGATTTCCTCAAATGTGGGCTCTTTGAAGAGCCCAAACGGTCTGCTCGGTAATTCTTCTTTTGTGGGGGGACCAGGCAGATCTAACTTATGCCTCTTTAGCTCGTCCATTGATTGCTCCAAGTGACGTACGACTGTGTCCTCATCGTATACAAAATCTTTGTACAATTTAACCTGAAATTTTTTGTGTTTAGGAGACATTACCATTTGCTAAATTAAAAAAACGTACTTGAATGTAATGAACAATTGAGTCCATATCGTTGAGTTTTAATAATGATCTTTTATGTAATTTGAGTATTGTGTAGGCCATAGCAGTAACAACTCGTTCTCCGTCTAATAAATATATATCCCATATGCGCAGGCACAGATTGAATGGCACCTAAAACGTAAATTATAAAATGCACCTTTTATAATCTAATTTCTGAATAAAGCAGCAACGATTTGATTTTCGTACTTTAATAATCCAAAAAAGTACAAACGAATAAGTTGTTGCAACATAGATTCAAAAGCTTCATGCCTAGCTCAAAAAACTTTTTATCTTTATTTAGAAAAAAAAAACATTAGCTAAACATTTCTTCAATTTTGAAGCACTTCCAGTTCTACAAGAAACACATCAAATTTCTTATTTTAAACTTCAACAGTTTAGGAAAACGTTTTTTTTTTTCAAATGAAACAATATGTCTGAAATAAAACTATTTTTTTTACATCGCTGGCACTAATTAATTCGCCAGCTATTTATTGAGTTGTTTAAATATAAAAACTGAAATCTTTTTACATCTTAAGGTCCTATTAGAATTCCAGGTAAAATTCCAACCATCCAATTGAGTTTGTCAAATTTCATGAAAAAATATTCTTTGCCAATTATAAAAAAAATATTTTCACCTTTTATTTGTTTTTCAAATATACTGAAGTATGTACAAAATATGTGCCGTTGAAATTAAGTTAAGTGTAAGAAGTTACATGTAAATTTAGTTATTTCAATGTTTTAATCAATAGAGTTATAAATTCGACATTCATTATTTTTGTGTTAAGAAACAGAAAAATCACACAAAGCCTTTTGTAAATATATTTAAGTAGGAAAAATGTTTTTTTAATATTTACAAAATGGGCAATAAAGCGTAACAAGTTCCTGAAATCCCAAAATAAGCAAAACCTCTTATCAATAATCAATTTTATCAAAAATTCTAGAATACAAAAAGTTTATAAGAGTCCATCTGACGATTACACCGTATATCGTATAATTTTATTTTAAGTACCAACCGAGGTACCAACCAAATGACTGGTAACCATAAACTTTTACATCATACTAAAAATTTGCAAAGTAAATTGAAATAGAAAAGTTACGGTAATGTACATCAACTTAAATTTTACCTATATTTGTACAATTTATTCAGTATAAATTTGAATATCACGCCATTTAACTATGGAACTTGCGTAAATTAAACAAAATACTTGTTCCCCCCCCCACTCTCTTTTTGGGAACAAGGTCACCCATTGGAAAGATGTGGAATGCTCAGTATGGTGTAAAAGTATTTGCTGGCAACCGAGGACAGCAACATATCTTAAATGAAGCCTTAACCTTTTGACCCACTAAACTATTCTAGGTTATAAAATATGTAATAAATTTGCAAAATTGTATTTTCCACTCACCCTTTCAATGAAGCACACAAAAAACCACTTCAATGAGTACAAAATAGCATCTAGTCCGTGTTTATCAAAGTGTTTTTTAACCTTAGGTAATAACTTTGTTAGTATACGATCGTGATGTGCCAGAAATCTTGTTAACTTGGGAAAACCTTCTTTATAAAGTCCATGCATTGCATATTTCGGATTACTCAATAAAATATGCACTGCCCAAAAAGCATCTTCTTCATTCATATACATAAGAAGCACCCCAGCTAGTCCAGACATACCTTGACAATATCCAACTTCTGAGTTATATATAGCATACGCAGTTAGAACTTTAAACAGAGATTGTTGTTTGATACTATATCTTTCTCGATAATATAAATGTTCTCTAAACTGTCTATTTACATCAGAATCTATTTGTCTAGCATCAGTTGAATACTTCCTAGCTAATCGCATCATTTCAGTATACACATCTTTGTTTTCGCTTTTTATTTTCTCTACTTGCAACAATTTACACCAAGCTTCAGGTCTTAAAGAATTTGGAATGCCCTTATATACTCTAGAATGTAGTTTTTCTTTAACAGCCGAGCTTTCCCAATTCTTCAACATTTTGATCCATTTCTTTTGACGTTCTACTTCAATTTGCAACTTCTTTGCTTCCTGCGGGTCCACTTTGGATGGTAATCGTTTATCATGGATAAAACCATATCTATCTGTGGCATGGTAGACCTCAAACCCAGGGTCCTCCCAAGGATCAATTTCTGCTCCCTCCCGCCCTTGTTCATAACGTTTAAAAATTTTTTCTCGCTCTTCGGCAGATCTTTTTATGAGATCTTCTTCATTCATCCCATGTACCAGTTTTTAAACGATTTATACACACTATACCCCAGCATTCCGCTATTTATAACTAAAACTTGATGACTGCCTCATTGAGTTTTAGTACATCTAAAAACATATTAAATGAAAAATTAAAATGGGCGAGTGTATAATTATTAGTGATTTTAAAATTTTGCAATGACACATGTCAAAAGCCCTCGCCTAAAACCACCCGTGAGATAAAAACAAACTTTGGTTTGACAATGTACGGTCGCAAATTAATTTCTATAATCAAATTTATTTGAAAATGTGTTTTATGAAAGTTTGTTTACCTTCATGTTTACTCATAAAAAATCAAATTTACTTGCACCAACATCCATCAAAACCCGCTAGGACTGCTGACAACTTGACAGCTTGACAGCAATAATATATGACATTTATCAGTGATATTTATTTGACATTCGACGTTTTGAATTGAAGCGTGTTCGATTTAACAAGTTTAACTAAATGTTTAAATTCTTCGCACGGCACCATACATGAAATTTTCGGAATCACTATGACTGAACTACTTTGAACCATCTATTTGAAAATTTCGCATTTGAGACTTTATTACCTTTTGTTCATTTAACTTAAATCCTAGATTAAAGAAGTATAGCTTAAATATTAATTGTTTATGTTCTATGATTCTATCTCATTTCTTATCTTTCCATGATTCTATCAATCTATTTTACTGTTGTGCTATGATCATACATTTCTTGTTTTTTATCAATTTTCAACTTGTATTTTGCCACGTTCGTGAGTCAATAATCAATTAAAATAAAAAATGGTAAGAAAATACTAAATAAAACTATATTAATGAAAGTGATCATCTCATAGTTAATAATTTTTTTAGGTTAAGTATTAATCAACTTTCAATTTGTAGGTGGATTCTGCAAAATTAACCCGTTATGTTTCCCCGGTAAACCCTGCAGTTTTTCCACATCTAACATTTGTTCTACTGGGAATCGGAATATTTTTCACTGCTTGGTTTTTTGTATATGAAGTTACCAGTACTAAGAGGACAAGAGACATTAAAAAAGAACTTCTTTTGGCACTAGTAGCGTCTGGATTTGCAGGCTTTGGAATATTGTTCTTACTTTTATCTGTTGGAATTTATGTATAGTATTTATATACCTACTATTTTGTACTGTTTATAATTAAGTTTCGTAATTATAATTTGATTATTTGTAATACCTAATACATCAATTAAATGATGTTAATAAATTATAAGAACTAAATTGTCTTTTACATAATAATATTTGACAATAGAATCAAGTGGTAAATTACTGGACGCTACTTATGAGACACCCTGTATATAACATTTAAGCTTTAAATCGTCATATTTATAGTATAAATAATTAATAAAATGTTTGGTCTCATCACAAGTACCTACCTAACTTAAAATTGTAGGTATATGTAAAACTTTGATGATTACTATAGTTGAACTGTAGGTTTGTGAAATTTGTTGTATAAACAAACACCTTATATTCTAGTAATATGGAGAAAATTCTATATTTTCCTTCTAATACGAGTAGTTCTAAAGTTATTTGTTTATTGAAGTAAGTTCATGATAAGCGAATGTAAGTTAAAAAAGGGTATTAACTCGAAATTGGTCTAAACGAGATTTTTTTTTAGAAACTCGATGGCAATGATTTAATTTTTAAAATGTCCGGTGTTATTAAATTTGTCGTTCTATATGTAATGTTAGTGGTCCCCGGTGTCTCTGCCATTGGTTGATTAACTCAAGCTTCATGACTTTTCGTCAAACATCCAGATATTTTAGAAAATGTGAAAATTTTCAAAAATTTTCTCTACATTGAAAATGAAGCTTTCAGGTCATAGGATCCATACCTTTTTCTTTTACTTATTTTGGTCACATAATTTTAAATTTGGTCAATTAATTCGAGAACGCTCTGTATAGATCTGAGATTTCTATGGCAACGGCATGTAACCACTGTAAACAATGCAAAATAGACATTTTAACTACAATCGCAAACCTAGACATTTCTGACTTTCATCAACAATGCAACTGAAATATTTACAAACTATATTGGAAGCGCAGGCAAATATAAAAACTAAATTTTAAATTCATAAAGTAACATATTTTTTTTAGGAGTTTGATTATAAAATATTAGCACTATGTTGGTCTCCTAACAATCAGAAATTAGCTGTAGCTACGTGTGATCGACAAGTATTATTGTATGATGAGAAAGGGGAGAAAAGAGATAAATTCTCTACAAAGCCTTATGATCCCGAAGCTGGGAAAAAATCTTATGTAATAACAGGAATTGCTTTTAGTCCTGATTCAACCAAAATAGCTGTAGCGCAAAGTGACTGTATTGTGTATGTTTATAAAATAGGAGAAAAATGGGGTGACAAAAAGGTTTACATTATGATTAAACTGTAATAGTTCGAAATAGTTTTTTCTGTTTATGTAATTTCAGGCAATATGTAACAAATTTCCGCAGCCGTCACCAGTTACATGTATAATATGGTTGTTGACAGGCCCAATTATTTGTGGTTTGGTAGATGGAAAAGTAAGGGGTCTGCAAATAAAATCTAATAAATCGCAAAGTCTCTTTGCATCAGACAGTTTAGTGGTTTCATTAACATCGAATTCGAAAGGTTTGTTGTGTACTAAATCTTACTAAAAAAATTAGTAACAGATATTTTTTCCTTAAAAAAAGGTACAGGTTTTCTATCGGGGCATGTAGATGGGAATGTAATTCGGTTTTACATCACAAACGATCACAACGAAGATGAGGCACAAGGCAGAATAGCATTACATTCAGTTCCCCCTTTTGCACTAGCCTGGCCCCAGGGCCACATATTTGTTGCTGGCTGTGACAAAAGGGTCTCTGTTTACAATAACCACGGCAAGCTAGTAAAAAATTTTGATTATGTTAAAGATAAAAGTGAACATGACTTCACAGTGGCTGCTTGTAGTCCAAGTGGACAGGTGAATTAAAATTATATTAAGTAATCTTTAGTTGCAGTAAATAAATTTTTTTAGGCCGTGGCAATAGGAAGTTTTGATCGTTTACGTGTTTACATTTGGAACACCCGTAAATCCATATGGGAAGAAACTCCTCCCAAAGAAATTACCAATTTTTATACCATTACTGCATTGGCTTGGAAAAGAGACGGTTCTAAAGTAACCTGTGGAGGTTTGTGTGGTGCAGTTTTAATGTTTGAATCAGGTAAATTCGATTATTTGTAATTGTTAAAATAGCCCATGTTATTACTTGAGTTGCTTCTAGTTTTGAGGAGAACTGTGTGGAAGGATAAGTTTGAAATAACTTATGTAGGACCCAGTCAAGTCCTTGTCAAGCCTCTGGACAAAATCGAAAGAGGTATTATTTTGAAATCTCAACATGGGGGAGAAATAGACGATGTTAAAATAATGGGTAAAAATTGTTATCTAGTGGCGCGAACGGAAGATACTTTACTAATTGCCGATTTAACTAGAAATTTATTAAGCGAAGTAATAAGTGATTATTTTTACTATTAATTTAAAGAATTATACTTCCTTCTTATTTTAGATACCTTGGAACAATTCCGGTCGTCATGAAAAATTCTACTTTGAAAATCAAAACGTATGTTTAGTTTTTAACGCAGGTGAATTAACATTGATAGAATATGGGGACAACGACGTTTTGTGCTCTGTTAGGACAGAGTTTGTGAACCCGCATTTAATCAGTGTTCGTCTCAATGAAAGAAATCAGGTAGTGGAAAATAAAAAGTTGGCTTATTTACTCGATCTGAAGACGATTTGTGTTGTGGACCTAATAAGTAGTTTTATGATTGGCCAAATAAATCACGACTCGAAGATAGATTGGTTGGAGCTTAGCGAAACGGGACATAAACTCCTCTTCCGAGATAAAAAACAAAGGTAAGATGTTTTGTGGAGGTCCTTAAGTACATTCTGATTTATAGACAATTATTTTTTAATTAAAATTTCTTGCTTTTCAGATTACTTCTCGTAGATACGGCCACTCAGTCGAAACAAACAATTTTTACTGGTGTTAGCTTCGTTCAGTGGGTGGAGGGCAGTGATGTTGTGGTAGCCCAGGCTGGCAATAACTTGGCTATTTGGTACAATATAGAACTGCCAGAAAGCCCCACTATTATGACAGTGAAAGGCGATGTCGCAGATGTAGTAAGGAACAATGGTAAAACTGAGGCTGTCTGTGTCGAAGGCAACAATACAATAAATGTGGAACTGGATGAAGGCCTTGTTGAATTTGGTAATTATAAACCTATTTCTCAATGTCCGGTATCAATTTTGGTGCAATTGCAATGCAGTAATTATTTGTAGGAACTGCGATAAATGACAACGATTACAGTCGAGCAATATTGTTCCTCGAGAGTATGGGAACTTCGTCCGAGGCAGAGGCAATGTGGCACACCCTGTATTTGATTGCCATGAAACAGCAAAATTTAACTTTGGCAGAGAGGTGTAGCGCCGCATTGGGAGACGTCGCCACAGCACATTTTCTGCAGGAGACATCGAGTGAAGCTGAAAAATTTGCTAACGAATATAATGAGATCTCTGCAAATTCGCCAGAAGTGTGGGCCCGACTTTCAGTTTTGTACGGCGAATTAGGAACCGCTGAAAACATTTATTTGGAACAAGGTAACGTCGAAGGGGCCTTGGATATGTACAAGAGACTACACAAATGGGATGACGCGATAAGGTACAGTTTAACACGCTGCGGAGTTACTCGCTTTATAATAATATTGACTATTTCAGACTTGCTGAACAAAGAGGATACGAAAATTTGAGAGAACTAAAAGAGGAGCACATGTCATTACTCCTACAAAGCGGTCAATATGAGAAGGTTGGACAGGTTCTAGAGAAAGAAGGAAAATACGAAGAGGCATTAAGTATGTACTTGAAGTCAAATAAACTAATACGCGTACCTAACTTGCTATCAAAACATACCGAATTGCTAAACGATCACACGATAATTGCTAATGTATTAAAACGATTAGTGAAACAAGAACTATATGAACCTGCCGCGGAAATATACGAAAAATTAGAAAAACCCGATTTGGCCATGGAATGTTACAGAAAAGGTGAATTTAAAACAGTACACCGTTAAAAAAATCCAAGTACAATTTACTTCTAGGCAAACTTTGGAATAAAGCTGTTGATTTGGCACGAAATCTAAGCCCTGATCAGGTGGTACACCTCGAGGAAGAATGGGGCGACAGTTTGGTGGAAAGCAAGCAAATGGACGCTGCTATAAGTCACTACATAGAGGCAGGTTGCACACTTAAAGCTCTCGATGCAGCCGTGGCGGCCCGTCAGTGGAAGAAAGCCGTCCACATTGTTAAAGTTATCGACGATCCTGATACCGTCAAGAAATATTATGAACTTATCGCTAATTATTTTGCGGGTATTAAGGTGAATATTTTTATAAATTATTATTAGTTGTTTTTATATTACGCATAGATTAACTTACTGATAAAATTTGACACGATTCTATAAGATAAACTTTCGGAATTTTCCATTTCAAAAGCAGCACTCAAACAATGTTTTTTTATATTTAGTCATTTTCATAAAAATCAATAGTATTTTGAGAAAAATGCAATTTAATTTGTTGGGAAAAATCGTAGTTAGCTACCTGCTTTCAGCACCCCCAAAAACTTATCTGTAGAATTTTTTTTTGCACTAAATTGTTTTTTTTTGGGAGAAAAGGGTAACGCTTGATTTAAAAAAAAATAAAAGATGATACGAGTATGGTACATAAAAAATAATATTCTTATTTATCAACCCTTGAATGGACGGTACTTTTTCCAAAACATCCTGTATATTTGTAGAATCTAAACATGTTTACAAGTTAAAAGAAAATGAAAAACAGACTATCATTGATCAATATCAATTTAAGTATCGAAAATTGCAACCAGAAGTGAAAAAAACACTTACATCTGGTGTCCGGTAAATAACGGATAACCTTTTAACTGTAGAAGGGGGACCCTAAGGTCGTTCAGAAAATAGAGATAAGACTTTTGTCTTAGTACAAAGTCTCTTAGTTTTTCAGTTATTTTGTTTTTTTTTTCAAAATTTCCGCCATAGGTTACTTAATTGGTCACTGCGGCCACAAGAGAACCTATTATCTTTCAGTTATTATTTAATTTTATTTAAAAATTACAGTAAATGTTCAAATTGTCTGCCGCCTTCCCTGCAGGCTTTGCACCTTCTTATGAATGCTCTTCGGAGCTTTCGTTTGTATCTTCGCTGACCAACATAAAATTTAAGTTAAACTTTTTTTAAACAAGAACTATTATTGCTAGTTAAAAATTCTGATAAGCATCTGATAATAACACAATTCAAGAATATTACGCAAAATAACTGAGAGATAATACGTTTTTTGTGGCCGTAGTGACCAATAAAGTAACCTATGGCGGAAATTTCAATAAAAAATCGAAATAACTGAAAAACAAAGAGACTTTGTACAAGACAAAAGTCGATTTTCCGAACAACCTTAGGGTCCCCCATTATTTACCGGACCCTGTATATAACAAAAAGTGGCATTTGACAAGTTTATTGTATCATTAAATTAAAAGAATTAAGGACAAACGGCCTACCTTCTATTCATTATATATTATCATCAAAATCTATCACTCTGGCACAAAATTGCACTTATACGGAACAGCACATTGTGTACCGTGTACCGTGTAATAAATAATATCTACTATTACCTATTATTATCTCTTCATTTCATGACCAAAACTAAAGAAAAAAAGTTCTTATTTACAGGAGTCCGCAATAAGCTTCGTTTTTGACATATAGGGTGCATGGGCTAGAATGTTTGCTTGCGGTGGGCCCAAGCAAGTTCTTTGGAGCCTGAAAAAAAAAAAGCTTTCGCAATCGGCAACTTGTCGAATATAATTGCAAAAACCTGAACACGTTTGATTTCTTTCTAAAAAAAAGATCACGAAGTCAGCGACTGCCGATATGATAGACGGTAATATTAGATCTTTTTTCTGGGGTGGGACGTACACACTCTTGCTCTCTCTTAGCTACGCCCATGATTATAATCAGTATAGGGTCAAATGCAAAAAGTATTAATTCCATAAAATCTAATTCATATGAATTTAAATGCTTTATAGCCATTATACTATCTTTCTGCAGAGTGTTTTATAGCCTTTATACAGGATGTTTCGGTTTATGTTTCGATTATCCCTTCATGGGATTTTTTAGTGTTGATATTTGAAAACACTTATTTTATAAAATATTTCCGAGTTTGATGAAACTATATTTAACCATTTTTCTGATTAAAATTAAACATTTACTAAATTTGATATAAAATCACTGCTCGTATCTCATTGTGGTGATTCTAAGAAAAAAAATCCTATTTTTTTTCTAAAAACTTAACTTATATTAAGTCAGCTACCAAGTACCCGAGATTTCCCCCAGAGTTTTTTCCTGGACTCTTTTCCCTGACTTTTACCCCTAACAGCTAATAACATTTTGCCACTTTTTATTAAATGTAAAAAGTATTAATTCCACAAAATCTAATTTATATGAATGTTCTAAAAAAAAGATCACGCAGTTAGCGACTTACCGATATGCTGATATGATAGACGATAATATTAGATCTTTTTTTTTGGGTTGGGCACCGGGCTTTCTGGGGTGACTGACTGTTTTTAGTTATTTCCATTTATTTTTCCACATTTGTTGTAAGGTGAATTGATTTTCTAACTGGTCAGATTACCAGATTTGAAATCATGTTATTAGTTTCACGTCTTTTGGATTATCTCATATATAATACGTACATACTGAATTCAAGTGAATTATCCTCCAGAACACGTAAAATAACTAAGAATTAAAAAAAATAATTTAATCACTGTATCTCAACAACAAAATGTTTGCAGATTTTTACTTTTTTATTTTTAATCGGAGAATTACCTATAAATTGTAACACCTTGCATTTATACATAAAATAATTATAAAATAGTACCAATCGTGTTTTATTTTGCACAATTTTTTTCCTGTTAGGAATTTTCGACAGCCGAAAAATTATATGCCGCCTGTGGTATGTACAAGGAAGCCGTCGACATGTATAATGAGTGCGGTCAATGGGAAAAGGCTCATTCATTGGCTTCTAAGTACTTAGATCAAGAAGAAGTATCAGACATGTACATAAAGCATGCCGAACAGCTTGAGGAATCGGGAAGGTTCCGGGACGCAGAAAAATTGTATTTATCCGTTAATTCCCCAGATTTGGCGATTGCTATGTACAAAAAAATCGAACAGTATGATAATATGGTATGTATATTGTCTCACAGTAATAATAGATTTGTAAAAATGTTTTCATGATGTTAAATAATTTATGATCTCTAATTTTAGGTAAGACTGGTTGAAAAATATCACCCCAATCTCTTACAAACGACCCACTTACACCTGGGGCAGCAGTTAGAGAGCCAAGGGAAATACAGAGCTGCCGAGATCCACTATTTGGCAGTCAACGAGTGGAAAGCTGCAATGAACATGTATCGAACATTGGGCATGTGGGAAGAAGCGTACAGAGTGGCAAAACAAAACGGAGGTCCAACTGCTGCCAATCAAGTCGCATTTCTTTGGGCCAGGACCCTACCCATCGATTCCGCTATTAAACTGCTAAATAAATACGGGATCCTCGAACCTTGCGTCAACTACGCCTGCGAGACGTACCAGTTTGAATTTGCGTTTCAGCTTTGTAAGAACTTGCCGAATAAGGTAATTGTTTCGTTAAACACGAAGCGCAGCTAATTTGTATTTTTAAAGGTAAACGAGGTGCATTTGAAATACGCGATGGCTTTGGAAGATGACGGGAAGTTTCCCGAGGCAGAGACGGAGTTTATTCAAGCGGGTAAACCTAAAGAAGCGGTTTTGATGTACGTTCACGCCCAAAACTGGATTGGCGCACTACGAATTGCGGAGACGCATGAACCCGCCTCTGTTCCAGAAGTGCTGCAGGCTCAGGCGGCGCAGTGCTTTAAAGACAAACAGTTTTCGGAATTTGAAGTCTTGCTGCTTCGTGCGCAGGTTCCGGAATTAATCGTGCAGAAATATAAAAGTGAAGGTATTGCATAGTAACACAAATACACATAAAAAAAGTGGTTGGCACCAAACTGACTTCAGATCCTTCTTCTGCGGGCTCAAAAACAACAATAAGGGTTTAATCAAGAGAACAGACCACTTTTTTATGTAATTAACCTTTAATTAAAATTTGCCCTTTCTTTTAAAGATATGTGGATAGATGCACTGAGGGTATGCAAAGATTACCTACCTCATCTATATCCAACGCTTCAAGCCGAATATAGTAATTCTCACCACAATAAAATGACAGACGTTAACATCGAGACATTATTATCCAGGGCGAACGAATGGGCTTTGGCCGGTCAACATAGGCAAGCCATAGATTGCCTCTTGCAAGTCAACACAAACATTACAGAACCATCAATTGTGAAGAGAGCTCTTCTGAGGGCCGCCGACATGGTAAACAAGTTTCTATTCGGGCAGGAAGCCTTAGATATTATAAAAATTTTATCTCCGAGGTAATTAAAGTGACCGAAATAATATCTTCAGTTTAAGTTGCTGAGAAATATATTTCGTTACAGGCTGATCGAAATAGGAGAGTATGGGGTAGCTGCACAGCTGTACGTCAGCATGGAGATGATGAAAGAAGCTATCGATACTTTTATAATCGCCGAAGAGTGGAATAAGGCCCGGAAAGTCGCCAAAGAACTAGAACCGGCCTACGAGAGCTACGTCGAGAGCAAATACAAAGATCGGCTTCTTAAAAAAGGCGACGTTGAGCAACTTGCAGACGTTGGTAGGTTTACCAAAAATTTTTTATACTTGGCATTGAAAAATAATAAATTTATTACAGACATCATCGGAGCACTGGACTTGTTAGCCGAACAAGGCCAATGGGCGAGATGCATCGAGAAAGCCAAAGCCCACAACACCCCGATATTACATAAGTACGTCGCTTTGTACGCCGCGAAGCTACTGAAAGACGGATTCGTCGTGGAAGCTTTAAACTTGTACTCCGCTCACGGAGCTCCCGCTATGCCCCAGAATTTTAATATTTACAATCACATAGCGACGGAGATTTTTGGGTCAAATGATCTATCCGGACCGGACAGTTACGTTGTCTGGGAGCAACTTCGGCAGATGCTTCAAGAAATCGTTAGTATAGGGTATTAATTACAAATTGATGAGAAAATATATTTCAATAGGAAAAATAATACCTCGTAAAATTAAATCATTTCAAATAACCGGGTGCTGAAATTAAAAAAAAATGTCGATTTGCAAAAATATTTCTGAAGAAGTTTAAAAAAAATGGTTATAGACTAATAATTAAACTAATTTGAGGTAAAAATTCTTGTTGAAGTAAAGAAATCTCACTAACTTGTGTCAAATATACGTATCTTCAAAAATATTTAAGAAAATGTGAATTCTTTTCCAAATTTCATCGCCTTTTACTCGAAAATAAAAAAATCCTATTTCTTATACAGAACGATGGGTTGGAGGTGGCACCCAACGTTACCACGGACACAAAACTGCACTTTAGAAACCTCTTACTAATAGCGCATTACTACGCCCTAAGGACGGCATGCAGACAGGTGACATCGCTCAAACCTATCGGTGTAAAAATCAGCACTGCGCTTCTGAGATACACCGACATAATCCCAGCGGACAAGGCCTTTTACGAAGCAGGTAGATAAAGTTTGTAGTTTAAAGTTTCTTAAAGCCTAACATTTATATTTGTAAAAAAAGGAAAGGACTTGAAAGAAGAGGGAAGACTGTCCGAAGCTTTCGTCTTTCTCAATCATTACCTAGACTTGTGCGAGGCTATCGAGGAAGGCGAGGGTCAACTTGTGGACCATTCCGATTTAACTCAAACAGATTTTCCTTCGAACATTCCTTTACCGTCCCGATTGTATCTCTCCGAAGACACGAAAGAACACGAGAATATCAGAGAATGGGTGTTGGCAATTAGTATGGACCAAAAAATCGACCAGGTAATTACTGCACACACTATAATTAATGATTTTAATGGAATTATTGAAATGTAGGGAAAAATTGGCCGTTTTAAAGATTCTATTCGTCATTTTGTAAAAAGTTTAATTTTTATGGATGAGACAATTTTCCTCGTGTTGCATTAATCAAGGTCAACAAGCTGGCGAAGTCATAAAAATGCATAAGTTTTGGCCGAAATGCCTGTCTTTAATAATTTGACCTTGTTAATAAATAGGTCTAGTGTCATTTTTTTAAAATTTATTTTAAGGATGCAATTACTTCACGGCCACAATTACTTCACATCCTGATTTATTTCATGGAAACTGTAACTAAATCCAACATTTTCAGACACTTCCACTGGACGATAGACAGCTATATGAAGCTTCGTTACAACACGGCGACAACCCTTGCATCGTAACTGGTTACCCTGTACGAAAGCAGTCGGTTTCATTTTCGAAAACCAATCTCCAGGCTAATAAAGACGCCTGGGCCAAACTGAACATGGGAGCGAAAATGTCACCCGATTCCAACGTGGCTGGTGTTATTTCCTTTATCACTAAATGGTGCGGCACACCCAATTAGGCACCGTTTTCATAAGTTTATTTATCACGAATTTATTGTGAATTAAGCACTATTGTTACAAGCATTGCTGTGGTGTCTAGTTTATAATAAAAATTGCACATATGGATTGAAATAATTATTTTAGTGTTATCGATATTATCGTGAAATTTCGAGGAATTTTTCTTCATTAAATTCATATTATAGCGAGTAAAAAGTTTAGTCAGGTTGTCGCTTCTCAGGTGTCATAGTGACCGACGCACTTCGACGCCAACGAACCACGAAGTGATAACGTCGTAATATACAAAATTTATATAAAAAAAGGACAAGAAATCAACATAACCTTTTTATTCTGCGAATAGGTTTCATATCACTAAAAGTTAACTATAAATCCTATTTTTACAGTTCACGATAAGTAGGATTTTTCAGATCCTTCAAAGAAAAATATTCATTTTAAACATTAGTTAGATGCCAACCACTGTTTCAACAATAAAAAGTTTTAGGATACCTAAATTCATACAAAAATAATAACGGGCTACCTCTAATTAGTCTACATTCTTGCCTTCCCCTGCTTCGTATTACTAAGGAATTGAACAATGTACGACGCCAAACAACAATATAAACGTTTAAACCAGTGGTTATCTTATTGCATAAATAAATGTTCGGCCGAGGGAAGGGGGGCTAATCCATCGGTTACGTTTGGTAGTTGCGTCAAATCCGGTAAATTTCGGATATGATTGTTGAGTTCGGAACGAACGCTAAATACTTTTAGTAGTTTCTCTTGGTATTCCTGAAAGGAAACATGAAATACAGTTAGCGACACAAAGAAATGAATTTTCTAAGCAAAAATAAAACTACTTCCATACAAGATTCGTTTTATACTTGTGTATTTTTGTCTACCAAAAAAAAAATAGCAACTTTATTATTTATTCCACTTACCTCTAAATTTCGTTCGGCTTGAGCCAATAGTTCTTCTTGTACATGCAGGTACTCCCTCATCATAATTGCAACTTTTTTTCGATGCTCCATCTCGGCAGCCAACCTCATATTGTACTGGCTCAGCAAATGAACTGCGTCCCCAACTTGTACACTAAGTTTCTCGGCTGCCTCTTTATCTAAAATTTAAATATGATACAGTGCGCTCGGTAATAATGAGCAAGTTGGTTATTACATAATTATGACAAAATCTAAAACTTTATGGTAAACATATTTCTACCAATTATAATATTTCTGTGGCTTTTACAGTTTATAAAATATAATTACTGAATTACCTTCTATTTTTGAAATTAGGGACACTTCAGATACTTCCCTAGGGAGTTGGGCGATTCTTTCTCTAACAATTTCATCTGAAGACGCAATATTTAACTCCAACTCTTGTATTGCCCTTATTAATTCCTCAGGTTCTGGAGGATCTCCGGGAGGAGTATGAGGACTTAAGTGGACATGTGTTTCTATAGATCCATCTGAATTCTGGAATGTATACACTAATTACGTTTTATCAAATGATTAATTTACACAAAAATATTGTGATGTTTATACTTTAACATAAACATAATTTGTTTTGAGTATGGTTAATTAAATTTTTACCTCAACAATTTTTTCAGTCTCGGACTTTCTCCTTTCTCTAGTAGGGCTCCTGCTTTTTTTGTCATTTGGTTTAGACCTTTTTTGTGGTGGTTCATCCTTTCCTAAAACTATAAATTAATAAATAAATGGTTATACTTTCAGTTAAATTTAACAATTTACCGAGCGCTCTCTTAAATTCGCTTATTAAAATTCCATCGTAAATACCACGATCATTCCAAATCGTGAGCAATCTGTCTAAACTATTTTTTGTTTTCTCATCGCTTCTGGACATGTGTTCGAAAGCTTTTTTTAAATGTAAACCATATTCTTGTCCATATTCAGGTCCTTTTTTCCTACTGTTCTGAATAACGTCATTTGCAAGATACATAAAAGTCAATTTTTTATTTTCTTTTGCTGAAATTAAAGAAGCAAATCGATAGTAATACTTCAGAATTAATGAAATAATTCAGTTTTTTTACCTTTTATCAGTTCTCTAATCCAAATCTTGACCACAGTGCTATAGTGTTTTCTGTGATGAATTAGCCATAATGATAATGTTTGAATACTTTGTGAAGAATTGTTTAATTCACCCAATTTTTTGATAAAAGCAGTTTCCGTAAAACCACCAGCCATATCAAATTTGTTCGTAAAATTATTTGACAATTTCTGTTGTAAATATAACCAACAAATACGAAAATACGAATTTTGGAGTAAAGCAGTGTCTAAGTTAACATGATCAAAAATAGAAGTTATTAGGGTCACAGTAACAATTAACGGTTATGTTTGGATCAATTCAGCAGTTCTTAAAATGTTTAGTTTACAAGGGTACAAACAGAGATCGTTTCGTGCGGGTATAAAGCACAGGGCAGGGATATTGGGTCCTCTGCACAAAATCAAAATATAATAAAATAGGTCCTCTGTGTACAAAGTACAAGGGTCAACATGTCAGATTAGCTGTCATTATATTTTGATTATAGTGGGTCCTTGCGTCCTTGCCTAATCTATGTAAAAAGTAGGTACTATTTAGTAAACGTAAATACACCAAATTATTCTTGAATCGGTTCCCTTCAAACTTATTTTCTAGATGAGCTACTGGTTTATAATTTCCATACCATTTTTCGCCATCCTGCAGAGGTCTAAATCAGTACCCTAAACATAAAAAACAATAGATGCGTTTTGAAATAAGCGTTGCTGAATATAGTAAATATAAGATCTATGGTTATTCTCTTTAAAGCAAGAATAACAGTCCATGTTATAATATAGATCAATGGTTTACCGAGTGGATAGGCAACACACCTCACCAGTGTGCATTATTGTGGGTTGTGTACATGTAAATAAAAAAACCAAAGGGGTTTCCAGCTTTGTAAATTAAAATATTTGTTTTTGGAATTGTGTTTTTTATAATATTTGAGTCACAACCAGATGTAGAAATTTAACCAAAGGTTCCTCAAATCTTAAAGCAATTAATCGTATATATCGCTAACATATATTTTAAATTTGTACTAGCCATAAGCCAAACACAGTTAGCAAAGGGTACAATTTTGCATATAAATATTTTTTTATCTTTATACCTTTAGGTATTATCGTTATGCAATGTCATTTTTCGATCATGGAAATAAGAAAATTTATTTTCCGTAATTTTCCCATTCATTATCAATCTATCGGACGGAATCGGATAGAACAACGAAAAATAGTTGTAGGTACATATTCTCTTATAAACTTATTTCTAGATCTCCACCGTTTTCTAGATACAGGATGTTGAAGTTCCCAAAAAATTTTATTTACTGTAAATATCTTTTGAAATAATGGAAATATTTAAACTAAATTTGGTGTACGTAATATCAGGTCAAGTTAGTTAAATATTGCAGTATCAAGATTTTGGGGAACCAGTGGCGTAGGTACTGGGAGGCGCCGTTATTAAGAACTTCAGAATTACGACGCCACAGAGTATGCGAGAAGCTCATTTAATTCCCAATTTCATTTCAAAGAAAAAATAAACCCTCCATTTTATTAGAAAAATAAACCATTTTCGAGTTATTGTTTTAAATAAATTAAATGTGGACGAGCATTTTAGTTACATCTGTGTACCTACGATCGTTTTAACACACGAGATCCAAGAACTTCCCTACGGATTTTATGATTTCATATTTAACAGCGGACCGGCTAAACGAATTCAAATAAATACCCCACTTACAATCGCGTTCCTGTCCGTCGTAGTCACATGTTTCGCGAGAACGAAGTCGAGGCAATCCAATGCTATATAGGTATACCATTAACAATTTGTAAACAGAACGGCGAACACGTTTTGGCACTCGGCGGAGCTGTCATCATCAAGAACCACCGGCCCCGTCGAATACGCGCAGTGACGCGCACGCATAAAATGGCCGGCGTCGCGACGTCGGCGTCTTGAGCGCGGGTGCACACGTTATTGAACAGCTGTTCGTAAAATGGAGCTGGCTCTTGTGACGTTCCCCTGTTGTGGTGTGTGCGTGTGATTGTGATGTGGCTATTTCTGAGAAATTCGGGGACAAACGATGAGGAGGAACCAGCAGAGTCAATCGCAGCTGCAGATCGAACACAGCGATGACGATTGCACGTCTTCACCGGTGGGTCTAGCGAAATTTTTCTGATTCATTTTAGTTTGTTTGGTGTGCATTCCAAGAAATCGCTTGGTTTCTTACCTGCATACTAACTAATCCACAGTTCTATTTTCGGTGAGGCTTTTAATACGGAATTGGACACAGGGAACCGATTTGGAGCCAGTCGCGCATAAATTTTATATAGGCCTTTGTTTTCCTTTTCGGATTTTCGTTATTAATAAGTTCAATGTCATTTTTTCAATAAAGTTGCGTCATTTAATGCTAATTGTTTATATGTGTTCGCTTTGAGAGGCTCGTTTATAGCATTAATTATTGCACATAATGGTAATGGAAAAACTTATGCTTATAGTAGCAGTTAGCATGTACTTATCAGGTTTCTCTTCAACCGCCTCAATTTTCATAAATAGTATTTATTTATTTAATTTAAAATTTAAAACATAATAAATAAGGACAAATAAATAAGCAATAACTAGGTATGTTCCTCGAGGTCAAGAATACATATAAATATATAGGGTGTCCACAAAATACTGTAACAAACTTTGTAAGCATTAATATAATTTTTTAAATGCGTTAAAAAGGAGTATAGCAAAATTAAAAAAAGACAAATTTATTTAATTTTATTTCAAATATCTCGTAAACTATTGGACTTTTGAATTGGAGCACTTTTATTTATAATTACCTATCCAATATTGAAGTAGAATTTAAAATAAATTGCAGTGAAAAATTGCTATAGAAAAGCGATCGTAAATTATAAATTCAAAATCTGTTTAAATAAAATAAAAAACCACCCAAAATTAGTAACTTTTCAAAAAAATCCCGAGCTAACGTAGAGATATCAATTTTGTTCACCCTGTATATACCAGCATGCTTGTACACTTTTGTGTATCAATCAGCCAGGAATTTTTTTTCATAGCAGCAGGCGAGTTAGATAGTTAATTTTAACGTTTAGATAATATACCTCTGTTTGCCAATAAAATGTTAAATCAAAAATACATCTATAGGGTCACTAACCCCGAATATAGCGAATAAAAAGAAATATTTAACCTCTTAATTCTCACGATTACTGTCGCATTGTGGACAATGGCTATAGCCTCGAAGTGCATGCCAAAGGTCTGACTATATGGTGTCTCTTGAAAATAAAAAAAAATGAATAGAATTGTCCTATACCTTTAAAAATATATTATACATATTTTTTTGCTGATACATTTTTGGTGGTTGCTATAAAATAATAATGTGGCAACTGAACCACGAAGGAATCAATGAATGTAGTATATGTATAGGGTGTTACAGAAAATGTTAAGCACAGATTTTTTGGGCGAGAGTAATAGGTTTCCTTATTGCTTTAATAGTTTAATTTAAAGGTACTGATGAAGCCACAAATAATTTTACTAGTAAATCCACTGTATGTTTACATTTTACTTATATTATATTTACTTATTTTAATTTAATCTAATATCTATAATTACAATTTAAATGGCAAAGGGAACTTTAGCTAAAAAAATTGTCAATATCGAAGTTACAAAATACACATTTTTATTTAAAAATGCCAAACGTTACATATCATATATCAACCCTGTATAAAACATACAGAATTGACCGTGTATGTATACTATGTATATCTAAACAGAAAAAAAAGTTGTCTAGGTACATTTAACACAGCAATCAATTTGATATCCACATTTTCACATTTGGCATTCAGAGATGTGTGTTGTAAGAAAATTTCTCTTTTAGTGCGATTGTGACGATTGCCAATGTCAGTCCAAGTTGGAATTGGTGTTCAATGTATACTTTTTAAGTAATTTTATATGTCAGGCGTATCTCTAATGCTTTCGTTTACATATAAACCAGATTCGAACTATCGCTGCTCCACTTATATGACATTTTTTTACGTTTACTCATGTTGATAAAGATTTAGTATGTAGTCGATTTGAATTTCTATTAATGTTGTCTTTTTTCCTTATCATATTTATGCCATATGAGTTTTTAAGTAAGGCGAATTTGCTTTTGTAAGTATGAAGTTAGTAAAGTCAGGAATGAGGCAATCAAAATATAACTGAGAGTCACTTTCAACTGAGGAAAGATATGGGGTGGTGTGGTCATGCAAAAATTGCCCCTCATTTTTCTCTGATAATGTCCTACATACAAAAAAAAACTATAAAAATAAGAGGATCTTTAAAAAATTACTTATTTATGTACAGCGTATGTCTCCTTGTGATTTGATGACCGCGTAATATAAAAAAGGAAGTATATAGAAAAAAAATATAATTATTAACAATGCACAATCGTTGTGGTTTGTTTGAATAAGCTTCGATGTAAATAATAAGGATATCCATTTCACTCTTTCAATATGGCATTCATATAGTAGAAGACAGATAGACTTCTATGGTAGTGTAAACAAAGACATTTACATGTGTCGGAAATTAAAATTGTTATTATTATTATTACATACGTCAGTGTTGAACATCGTTGTGGAGAAAGCACCTTCTCTTGAACCGATATACTGCAACTGGTCCATCTTCCTTATTCCAAACGATTTTGGAGTAGTTTTTCTGAAATGGTCATCAAAGTACTTAATATACATTTCGAAATTTCTATTTTCAGTGAGTACTGAAATAAAAAGGATTCTTGAAAAAGTTAACCGAAGAAGAACTGACTTTTTGCCAACAAATTATTGGTTTTTCATTAGAATAATGCGGTTGATTATACAACACTGTGTTTAAGGTACCTAGTTAGCAAATAATTATATGCAAACCTCCTCTCTGTTCATAAAATCTATCTTATATATAAAATTAAATAAGGAAAAACAACAAAAGAAAGGCATTCTGATGACATGGAAGACATCAGGAATACGACGATAGGAGTTTTGAGGACAATGTCCTGCTTTTACAGAAAATTCCTTACTATCTTTTGGGGTACTTTATTGGGGAAACGCTGTAACTGTAAATTTGGTCTTGATAGCGCAAAAAAATATCATTCGTATAATGGCACAGGTCCCGAGAAGATCTAGGTACATGCAAAAAACTATTTCTTAAATATAATTTATTAACATTCCCTTCTATATACATATACTTCAGTGCATTATACGTAAAGAACAACATAAATGAATTTATAAAACAAGAAAATATCCATATACATAACACAAGGTACAAAGACGATCTGCGAATGTCACAGTGTAGGACAGATAAGTGTTTTAAAGGTATTCAGTCTATGTCTATTCGTATATTTAATAAGCTACGAAAATATTTAAAAAATATAAATTCACAAAATAAATTCAAACAAGAATTAAAAAAATTTCTCTTCCCTTGGGCCTTCTACTCGGTTGATGAATATTTTAACATTATAATGTTTGTATTTAATTATTTTCTGTGACGTATCCTATATTGTAATTGTATGATGTACAATGTCTTGATCTCTGGAATTAAACACACAAACAAACAAACAAACAAATATAAATTCAGTTTCGAGTTTGCTATTAAATATTTCCTTATTATGTATAGGTTGGACCAAAAAAATACAACTGATTGTGAGTATTTTCAGACAACAGGGATGAAATGTTTTAATTTCACTAATTTCTAAATTTATTTTATATAGTTACCTATATAGCAAAAAATAAGCAGAGAAAGAGCTTAATTTATGCAACAAATAAATAATTTCACACAATAAAGGTTGAGCACATTATAAGTGAAAGTGTTTGGATTTCACAGAAAAGAAGATATTTTATATCAAGAACAGATGTTCAATGAGGATCCTAAAAAATTATTATCAGATCATTGGCAACCGTGAAGATTTAGATATATCACGTTCCGGTTGGTTTTTTATTATTGTAATTTTTACTATATGTTTATAAGTAAAATATTTACACATTAATTAAACGTAGGTAAATGCTAAGAGATATTTGCTTCATGTAAACATGATAATTAAACATGATTTTAAACGTATTTAATTCAGAAATTGTTTACCTAAATAATATTACAAAAATATTTAGAAAAAGTTATTAAGTTTTATTTTTATGTGATTACTTCAGGTGCTCAATAAATATTACATTTGAATGTTCAAAAAAGAAAAATATATTGAATTTTTTGACAACCGACGTTTTTAATAGTTTTTTGTGAAAACGTAATTATGAAATATAATTTACAAAAGATAATAGAAATGAAAATCAAACACCGAGTGAACAAAATGAAATACCTTTTAGCGAATAAATCAAGTTCTATGATTTTACGAGTTCCTATTTCATTTTGTTTGCGTTTCTATAGATTTTAATTTTTCTGTGGTTAGTCGGCAGAGATAAAAAAGATGAGCTGAAAATGTGTTGAAACATAACTTGTTTGTTTTAGCTTGTTAACATTTTCGTCTGTATCCGGTAAAAATTACTTTATTGCCTACAGACTAGAGCAGCTCTTACTAAAAATAACATTAAGTTGTTAAAAATTATGTATATCCGGGTACAGTATAAATATTTAAAATGTGTTTGTTAATATTACATATCAGCACTTACGTATACCGTTTTCTATGCGAAAAACATAAGATCAAAAATAATAATTATAGAATGGGTTCTCATATTTCTAAATACATATTTGAAATTAGGTTTTTTGATTTGTCGGTTGCCATCAAAGAAAAATTCATGTAATTTAATTGCGAATTAAATTTAATCAAACGGAATAAATGTACTATCTCTTAATAAGTTCATGACCCATACATGCAGGTCATAGAAACATTGATTTCCTCTGAATATGTTAAAATCTGCTTTCGGAGACCTGCACCATTTGAAACCTCTACGACATAGGCAACATCAATTCGGTATGACTATCATTTTCTAGAAAAGTATAATAATCAAATAAATCTACTCGGTGATATTGAATCGATCACAAAACGGACATTTTTACCACATCTTTTGGTTCCAGAGATTTTAGAATGAATTGTTTTCTTGTCTAACATTAAATTGATTAAAATAGCAGATAAATATTACTTTATTAAAGAATTCCTAGTAATCTTGTACATAGTTTGTACATGTCTTCATATAACATTTGCTATATCCAGTGTTGGTTAATTTATTAGTTATTACTCGCTATACTGTTCTATTTATTTCTGTGACTGTTAATCACTTGACATATCTGTAGATTACAGAATTAAGTTCAAGATTATATTTCTACAGTTTATTGGTGATTTCTTTTTAATATAGTAACTGTTCCCATAACTTTTTATAAAAATATACGTGTTTATTATTACAATCCCTTCGCAATAAACTACAATAATTAATTTATAATAAAAAGATATGCGAATTGTATGCTTAAAGCACAGTAATTTATAATTGTTACATACTCTGATGAATAATTCTTTACGCATTATTAAAATACCATCACACCCACAGTTCATTAGTTTACTATAAACGGAGACAAGTTAATGACAAGGTATTAAATACAAACAAAACAACCAAAACGAAAAGTTTAAATTTCTAAATAGGACATAGGCATATAACTTTGAGACGTCTACACGTTTATTTGCTGCACCGACTTTGCAGGGAAATTTTCATAAGTATTAGAAAATAAATATAGATATAAAGACTTAAAAACTTGGAAGAAAATTAAATAACTGTTTAACTAAACACTTTCTTTGACTAAATTGTTTACACTTAACCACCCTGCATATTATTATTCAATAAACGTTTACATTGAAAAAATAACGTGACTGACGACTAACTAGCACTTTAACATTCATGTTTCCTTAATTATTAGAATATAATGCAAATGGAACCGCATTGCTACATTTATAATATAAATATATCAGAGTTTGTGTAAATGTACAAGGTTTTGATAAGACAATAATTAATCGATTTCAGGCAAATCTACGTTCATATTACTTGTATTCGTGTAACAAGTACCTACGTAAACACAAGCACCGTCACCTTCTTTATATGCTTATACATACATTATATCTTCATAGGTAAGAAAACTTTGTCATTGTAGATAATAAAGTCATAGGAGGAAAGTGAAATGACTATATCATGGTTTAAGGTTTCTGTATTGTGTCTACGTTTTTAATAAACGTAAGTGTAATAAAAACCCTACTCTGCTGATTAACCAAATTTTAGTACCTAGCCTAGACATGTAAGTAGGAATTAGTAGTTTTTGAAACAATACAGTTAACAAACTTCTTTATTAAAGTATATTACTTATAATCTAAAAGTTGTAGATGAAACACCATGTTACCGAAAAAAATGCAACAATATTTTAATTGCAAAGCTAAAATTGATACTTCCTTGTGACTGCAGATATACAGATATACCTACTATTAACGGATGAAAGTATCAAACTGTATGGACGATAAATACAGAAAATATTTGAAACTGTCAGTCACTGGATTGTTAAAATTTTAGAATATAACTGTTGTTAATGTTGAAAATACCAGTAAGAGTTAAATTCTGTTTCTACCAATATTAAAGTTAAAGAACTCAAGCAATTTTACTGGATCATATGTCATTTTTAAACAGGCTTCTTATGTAGATTCAATAAAAATTTTTGCATATTTATTTTCAAACTTGATTTTTTATCTAATAGCACTTAAAGCAAATTCAAAACGATAACATGAGCATTATAAATGACTACACAATTTTATAATTTGTATAGGTATTTGTAATGTGTATGCAGAATGTTTTTGATATTCCCAGTACCCACTCTGGTTTTTACAATTTCCTTGAATCTGAGTCATTCTGTAATTTTCCTAACTCATTATAATATGATCGCTAACTGACTTTATTTAATGAAGTAATTATAATATAATTTTTCTCAGTTTTTACTTCCAAGAATAGACGTTGCGCAAACTTTAAGAACATATTTCAATAATAATCTCCTATTCCTTCAATTTCTATGTTTACAGTTCAATTTCGAAATCTAATCTAATGGTTGCCTCGAAAATGGCGAAATAACAATAAATAATATCTGAAGAAAATAATGCAGCAGACTAACTGGAAAGCTAAGAACTCGACTATATTTTAAATACAGAAAATAAATGAAGATTATTCTTTATAGAGGATGACGTTTAAGCATGTTCATTATAGAAATCTCGGAAATTCGAATGATGGGTTTATTTTTTTTTGTCAATTTTGTAAAAATTATTATTTTTCGAATATTTGGAGCTGTGATTTTTCGATTATTACATAAACTAATATCATACGTTGACTGAAGATATAACAGATTTTTTCTAAATCCTAGATCTGGTTGACAAAAGTCAATTTCCTTTGTATGGGCTCTATAGTTAATACTCACATTTTTAGATATTTATTTTTATTCCCTTCATGAGGATAGGTAGCATATCAGTTTATAGTAATACATTTAAAAGTTCTCATCAGTCTAGTTATTTTCAGATATACTCGTATTAAGAATTAAGTACTTAATAATGAATGACCGTCACCATTTCAACTCCAACATATTTTTTGTCTTTGAACTATTCAAAATATCGTTCTCTGTAATTAAAAAAAACTGTACTCTTGTTGAATTCATGGCATTTGTTTTGAATTGATACTTATATAAACAACAATTTCTATGAAACAACCAAGGAAGATGTACCCCTTTCTAATTTTTAAGATAAATATGACAAATAACTAAAATATGTTACCGTTACAGTCTGGTTTGTCTCCAGCAACATTAGATTTTATTGACAAAAACGATTCATAATAAATTAACAACACAATTAGCAAATAAACAAGTGCTAATCCATTGTTATTTTTGATTATACATTTGACCTAGTTTAATTATACACTTTTATATAACGCGTTGGAACATTTAGTTAGGTAGGTACTCTGTTTTGAAAATATATTAACTGATATATGTCCGATTATACTGTTGTTGTTACTCTAACTTCAATCGTCCTTTGCTTGTAATAACCAGTTTGTTATATTGTCCCTACATTGGCTTATACATTACCTACTAAAAAATAAATAAACATAAATTAACAACCATAACGAATATCTTGAAGATTCAGTTTTAAATTAGCTAACTCTGAATATCAGCATTCCTTCAAAATATTTTTAGTCCAGTCGGTATCTGTTTCGGGATGGATGTTTCAGGTATATAGTAACGCTAATATTTGTTGGAAATAGTTCTAAATATTATGTAAAAGAAAATAGTCGAAGGAAAAAAGTTTCGTTTTGAAAAAATAAATTTTTTATGAGCATGATTGTTGCTGCAATACAGTAGGTATAGACCGAAAAGGTATTCGTAAAAAATGATTGTTTTTTCATGAATTTACCTTGGACCTTGACTTTAGAGCAGCCATATAAAAAATATGGTTCTGAGTACTTCATGATATGGTAGTATTGCAGAAATTTTTTCATCGAAATCGGCCAGGTAGATATCGCACAATTGAATTGTTAATTAAGAAAATACAGAATTATCCTTTTATTTTCAATACTCTCTCACGGTAAAACCAATGATTATTTTGAGCTCCCAATTTTTATACGTACCTTTTGGAGTCTCAACTATCAATCCCCGTTTAATAATTTTCGATTTTATCAATTTTTACCAATAGAATTTTTCAAAATTTCTTCGAAAAAATAATTATAAACAGTTAGAGCTGGAACTACCGTCTTTGCATATTCTTCAAATTTCGATGAAAACATTTCTGCAATACTACCAAACATAAAGTACTCAGAACCATACTTTTTATTGTTACTCTAAAGCAGGGGTCGGCAAGTAATTTTAGGTGGGGTCCGGATACTTTTGAAAATTTTTAACGAGGTCCAGAAAAAAATTAATATTTCTTATTTTTTATTTTAATTTGGACTCAAATTTAATCTGCTTACTAACCATTAAGAACTCAAAACACTCACACAATTGTAAAATACTAGAAAAAATGATAACATTGGCACTTAAACGTAAAAAACATTTTTTAAATAATTTATTTGAGTAATTTATACTTTCAAACAATTTTTGGCGGTCCAGTATTTTACCTTCCGCGGTCCGGACCTGGACCGCGGTCCGCCAGTTGCCGACCCTTGCTCTAAAGTCAAGGTCCGAAATAAATTCATGAAAAAAACATTTTTTTCGATCTATACTGTATTGCAGCAACAATCATGCACATAAAAAATTTCGAACCACTTTTGTTGTGAAGAGAATCTCAAAACGAAACTGTTTTTCCTTTGATTATGTTCTCTAATGTCAATATTCTCCGAGTTCTACATGGAAGAAGGGAGAAAAATGCGCCTTCTTAAATTATTTTACATTTTCTTGCGCTAACAATTATGCACAACTTTTTCAGCTGGCACTTATCGCAATCATCATTTTACATAATATTTAGAACTATTTCCAACAAAAATTAGCGTTACTGTATGAAACATCCATACAATCTACTTTTAAAACAGATATCGACTGGACTATTTGCTAATTTGCTATGAGAAGTTTGTTTTATTCTATGCATTTGTACATTGTTTTTTTTTCATAACAGTTTTTAAATGTCTGGCACGTAATTTCCATGCAAACTTTATTCTCCCCCTTTGTTCTGACTTTATAGGTTATTTGTGCCGTTTTCAATACGTAATGTGCATTGTCCTTTCAGTCGCAAATATTGGAACGCGTCCAGTCTGATCGTGTGACAGTCACCAAGCCTGAAGAAGACCGAAGGAGGAGAACTATAATCGTGGAGAAGAAAAATGGTTCTTTTGGATTCACCCTCCAGAGCTACGGCATCCACTACAAGAAGGAGAAGGAGATCGAGATGATCACTTACGTGGACTATGTCGACTATGATGGCCCAGCTTATAGAGCTGGAATGAGAGAGGGAGACGTGATTCTATCCATAAATGGAACAGATATGGAGAAGGCCGATCATAAGACGCTCGTCAACTACATTAAGAACTGCGACAGCAGGATGAGGATGGTGGTACTGTTTGAAGACTGTGTGAGAAAGGTTGGTCCTTGGAAAGCAAATATTAAACGCAACGATTGATAATTTATGATTGTTTTTAGGTTGAACTGCACATGAGATACATTCAGCTTCAAAGGATCTTACAGAATAAAATGGAGGAGTTAGAGAGACTATGCGTGAGAGAAAAGCAATTGTTGGAAGGAAAGTGGAAGACTCACAGCCTCCCAGCTAGGAAAAAAGCATCGCATACCAACAATGGAGGACCAGCAACACCCACGCAAACCTCGTACATGTATTGCAGACCGACGGTATCGACAGAGGATGTCGCGAAAGTCGCTCAACAACAGAAACAGCCAACACCTCCTCTCGTTTTTGCTTACCAGTATCTAGATTCTCACTACAGGTAATATTTCATGATTAAAATAAGATAGACGAACGTTTTCCACGTCAAGACGAACGGTTTTTTTTCCAGATACATGCTGCACCCCTCGACAAGTTCCAGTGGGGAATACCTCTTAACCTTCGAACCCCCTCGGTACAAGGAGCAGCAGACCAGCTTCATCGTGAAGACTCCTTGCGATCAGAAGCAGTCGCGAGGCAACCAAACTAATTTGGGTACCTTGGAGAAGCCCAAGAAAACCCACGCGCCCTGTCAGAGCTATGCGGGCCAATTGTGCAACCCCTGCATGCAGGTGCAGACCAGCAACGGCGATAACACTAGCTTGGACGCTTATGACTTAGCGAGTCCCTGCTGCGACCCTCGTTGCGTGCCGTCGAACAGGAGGCGGTCGAGGAGTCAGAGGGAGCAGCACAGGAAAAGAGATTCAAAGACTGAGGAAACACAAACTGACCCTCAACAGCAACAAGTTCGATCTCGACCACATTCCCAGTCGTCGCAGACGACTCCTACCGCTCAGAGTTATTCTGCACCGAGAAGGTACCTTTGTATTTATTTTTTTTACTTCCCTTATCTCTTTATCTTTCGTATTTAGAAAAACTTGTGCGGAATGGTGCTTTGTGATTTCAAAATATGTATATTTCAGATATTTCCACATCGGTGCCGGCCTAGTCAGTCAGTGCAGCCTTCATTCGTGCACCTCCAGCGAAATCAGCAACGTCGTGCCTACAACGGCTGGAGAGAGCTCTGCCAACAGTTACACCACCTCCCTGAGCACCGACACCCTTTACTGGGACGGATCCTGTGATACATCTAGACAGTTAAGCATAAAATCCTCGAAACACGACCACCAGAGGTACTCTCAACAACCCCAGACGTCCCACGAGCCCATCTACGTGCAATACAGCCAAGTCAAGCCAAAGTCGTGGGATAACCTGGCCACGAAGGCCTTTGGTGGATACGGTTTCGGTTACGGTTATCTGGACACTTCACTGAAGTGTAACCAGAAAGCTGCTGCTGCTGCTGTTGCTCCTGGTGTTGGTAGTGTTGGTGTTAATAGTAGTGGCAGTCGACCCCATACCAAAGCACAAGCTACGCAGTGCGTTAGAGTGGAAAAACACGCATCCAACAATTGTTCTAATCCCCCACAGTACACGCCACATACTCATAGAAGGTAAGCGTTAAATTTATATAAATTTAAGGGGCGTGATTAAAGCTACTTGTAACTTTTTCGTTCCAGATATTTCCAGCCGACCAAATCTACAGAAAGCCTACTCACCGTGCCGAAATACTCAAACGAGGCGTTGTCCGATTCTAGTCTGTCTTGTGAGTGTCTGGAAGTGTCCCCGGGACCAGAAACTGCAGAAAGTCGCTTCTTTCAGAGTCCCAGGCAGAGCGTCGTCAGCCCGACGGATCCGAATTTCGGATACTACAGCGCGAAGCGAACTTCCAGGACCGAGTATCAGAAGAATGTCGTTTCTACGAGCAAGGAAGCTACCAGGCTGTAACTTATTATTTCGTATGTCCATATGGGTGATATTTTGTAATTTTTGAGAGAAATTTTTATTAGTTTACGGCACTACAAGCACCAGGGACTATAAATGTGATAATCGAATGCGTAATACTTTCTACCTCTTTTTATCTTATCAGTCCGAGCACGGTTGCTAAATAAGAGGTTGAATTAGAAAGTTACGTGGCCATTTTCTATCTCATTATCCTTTTGGATGTAGAAAGTGTTTCCTAGTGAAACTATTGAAGGGAGTGATTACTCAGGTTCTAAAATGCGCTAAAAATTTTAATTTTTTTCGATGCACCCCATGTTGATTGCTTTGTCTTAAATGTGTTTGAATTTTTGTAATCTCCTTTCAGGACAACAGATATAAGGTTTTTTTATTCCTATTAAATAGTAATTTACGAGGAAAGCACTATTTAATTAATTTTTGGGACATAATTAAAAACGAAGATCTCCGTACATTTAGGATTTTTAAAGTGTTTTTTTCTTAGAACCTGATGACCTGATGCATATCCCCTTTCAATATTGCAGATGCCTTAGGGTCTTCTACTGTACCAAGTAAATATTTTCAAGTAATTTTTCCATTAGTTTACTATTTGCGTAAAGTCTAGTCAGATTTTCGTCTAGTATTATTTCCATTACTCAAACGAATTAAAATTGTAAACATGTACTTTTGATGCTATCTAACTGCGTTGATGTGTGACTAGGGAAAACTGTTTAATACAGAATCCATGTATGATTTCTATAATAGAAATGTTTACTATTACATACTGATTTTTCGTAGTTTGTGTTTTATTTAAAGTTTTTAAAACGTAGAAACAAGAGAAGTTACCAAGCATAACAATATTATTTATGTTTTGATTGTTTTGTATCATAAACATAGTATCGAATTGGAGAATATTACGCATTTCGTAATTATTTACTAGTAATTAATTTATAGAATTTTAAATATCATGAAACTTTGGAAACATAATTGGTAGAAATGACATAGACAATAAGTTACGTTTATAATGCTTATTATATACAACTATGTAAGTATATTGTTTCTATTATTTATTACAGTACCTAGGTGTTTTATTACCAAAAATTGTCTCATGCATGTCATATTTAAAAAAATTAAATAAAATATGTTGAACCTTACGAAGGCAGCCTTTTATTTTCCCTTATTCCTTAAGAAGCAAAACCATGATAAGTATCAGTGGTATCAGTTTTAAAACTAATATTAATTTTAATACAAAGTATCACTTCTGTAATAATATCATTTTACTAATATATCCAGTTTATGTTTGGAGTATCATAGATTATTTTCCAAGTGTCCTAATAAACTAAAGATCAATTTCCTTGTTTTAATTTCCTGTAAGATAGTTTCTCGCCTTTTTGGCCTTATCCATGGAAATAGAAATTGTTGAATAAATACTAAAATATAAATCATATTGGATAATCATTATCCCTTCCTCAATTTTAGAACAAGTTTTCTAAAACGATCCTACAGATAAGTGATTTAAAAAAGAGTTTTTCGTCAGTTATTGAAGATACAATTAATTTTGATAATTACTGATAATTGTTAATGATAATTGAATTTAGTACAGCACAGTCCTATCATAGCACATCCTACTTATAGCCCAGTAAATGAAATTTGTAATACATGTAAATCAAAAGGTAATTCGTTTCAGATTGAAACTTGGTTTAATCGTTAGTTTAGGCAAAAAGAAATAATATTTCCCAAAAAGTATCGGTTTAAATCAACAAATCATTGTTTAAACAATGATTATAATGTAAAAATTACCAAAAATGGAGTTTCATTTGATACCTGCTAAATTAAAATCCATTAACAATTTGTTTAAATAATTGCAAAAAGCCAGCCAAATTTGAATTTGCTATAAATAGAAGAAAATAGCATAAATCGTCTCTAACCTGCTGTAAAAGTTGTATTTTTTTACGCTTAAGAAACCCTGAAAATTTAGTAAAAAAATATTAATTTGTTTACGAGTTTTTGCATTTGTTTATTAGAAATAGCATTTTTTCAATTGCAAAAAGCGTTATAATAAAATGAGCATTTTTTTCGATATCTTTAACCGTTATTATGAAGTTTAAGGGTTGAATAATTTATTCTCGAAATTTCAAGTCTTAATGTTTATAAGTAAACAAGTTACGAATTTTAAAAAAAACGCTATCTCGGCTAAAAATGGTCCTAGAACAATTTTTTTTTAAATTCGTGAAAAATTACCAGGATTACGAATATCAGAGCGTCTTTAAAAAATATTCATTATTCGCAAAGTTATTAACGAAAAACCTTATAAACAAATTACACTACACTTACACTTACACTAATATAAGTCAAGACGAAACAAATGAGGCCCTTTATAACGCTAACAGCCGCGTTTTTGCAATTGAAAAAATGCTATTTCTAATAAATAAATACAAAAACTCGTAAATAAATTAATATTTTTTTACCAAATATTCAGGGTTTCTTAAGCCCAACAAAATACAGCTAAAAAACTCCATTTTTGGTAATGTTTACATCATAATCATTGTTTAAACAATGATCTTGTTGCTTTAAACCGATACTTTTTGGAAAATATTATTTCTTTTTGCCTAAACTAACGATTAAACCAAGTTTCAATCTGAAACGAATTTTTTTACAAATTTTTTAAATTAATTAAATATGTCTGTGTTTTTAATTTTTTCCCTTAGTCTTTTGCGATTAGAAGCATAAAAACAACAACAGTATTAATCACTTCAACTATGAGTCACATGACTTAAACATTTCGCAAAAATTTGTTATTATTTGAATGCAATTCAGCTAACTAAATGGATGGATTGAACATCTGTATAATCAGTAACTATGGTAGATATAAATATGTTTCTTAAAATAAGTAGCAAATCAAATATGAACTGTTTTTATTTCCACTTTTATCTTCCCTTTCATATCAATATCTAAATACGACTAACAATGCAACTATATGAAGACAGTTTATTAATTTCCAATAAAATACGACATATTCAATTTTTTGTTAGTAATTCCATAAAAATGTCCTCAAATATGTTATCTTGTCTATTCCCATCTCAAATATGTCTCGACGGTGACATTTTAAAAACACAATCGAGAAATAAATCTGCTTCGACAAGTCGATCACACACAGTGCGACAATTTTAACAGGATGGACTTTTTGATAAAAACAAGAAACATAATGCCCTGTTAGTTGTTTTTCATGTGTTTGTAGAAGGGAATTTAGTAAAATATAGTAATTATTTCGGCATTGAAGCATTTATTAAGGACTTAAGCAGGTAAATCCATGAAAACCTTGACAAAAGAATATCTCAAAATTGGAATCAAAATTGGCTGGCAATAGAGTCCGAGACTGGTAAATTATACTTAACTGCTGCGTGGTGTATAGCATTTTATCTGCTCCCACAATTCTTTATGGTTCATGAAATAAAGATTAGGTTTTATTTTTTGACATTTCTTAATCATTTCATTATTCAAAATCTTGCAAATTCGCCTAGGTTGTTTGGATTTTGTCGTTTCTAAAGTGTTTATAAACAAAGCTACATAAAAGTTGTAATTTTGCTGGTTTTGAATTATTATTAATAAATGAGTGATTTTCAAATAGAAAGGGCAGCAAATGCTGCCTGCTAATTTTTATTGCCCGTGAAGTCGAAAGTGCGCTACGGACAAGCATATAGAAATTTCAAAGAATGGTCTCAGAACAAAAGTACTGGTGTTTCTGAAATGTCACTACTAGCATATTTTATGGAAAAGACAAAACATTAAAGTCACCGGTGAGTTTGTGGAGTGAATAGTCAATGATTAAGTCAACTATTTTCATAGATACCCCAAGCTGAGAGCATTTTTGGAACGCAAGAATGACGATTATACACCTAAAAAGTCAAACGATTTTACAAGAGAACAAGTCAACGATTTTCTCGTTCAGGCACCCGATAACACATATTTGCTAATGAAGGTAGTGCACAGCTTTTGAAACTAGAACGTCCTGAAATATATACAGGCCATTCATTCCGAAGAACATCGGCAACGTTACTGGCTAATACAGGAGTTGATGTATTAGCAATCAAGAGACATGGTGGGTGGGAATCATCCACAATTGCAGAAATGTAATAACTGTACAATTACTATAAATATTCATTCATAATAATTAATAAAATGTAACGTTCATCAAATATTTCTATTTAAAAAAATAAAAACGTCAAGTTTAATCCAGAATCTTTCTTCTTCTCACACTTACCATGTAACTACAAAGATCTGCATGCAATAAGCAAGCTCAAATTTTTCATTTACTATTTATTAATTTGTCTAAATGTAAATATTGTGCTAATGGTAATATAGGCACTTAGACGCTAAAAAAAATAAATAAAAAATATCATATTTACTTGACGTCGAACCCTAACCTCTAACTCTCTACAAACTCTAACTAAAATTAAAGTACACTTAACTACAATTCAAATTGTACTTAAGCTATAAGGTAGGGGCTACTTGAATGTATTTTTTTAAGAGGCCAAACAAAAGGTTGTATACCACTGGACCAATACATAATATTTCTGTGTCGATTTAGTCCAATATATCCAATGATCGTTAATTGAGCATAATAAAGCATAGTTAATATTTTAGAAGTTTATTTAATAGGGCTTTTCCATATAATTTTACATTTCTTCTTCAATTTTAGCCAGATTAGACCGCATAATTCCTAATTTTTATAGCTTTTTAAAATGTTCACTTGCATTACTGTTTACTGGAAGAACAATACGAATAAACAGTGCCATAACATTGTGCCACTATCGACGTCGTGAATAAAATATGACTGTATCCTTCGCCAGGATCTAATAATTATACTTGAGACTGTACCTATTATTATAAAAAAATATTGATTTTTCTCTCTACGTTATAGTGGATAGGAAACCAACTTGGCGGTCTCGATGCAATAGGCGCGCCTTTCTGACCTGCGCAAAACAACTTATTTTCGAAAAGTTGTTGTTGCGAGGCGCCATACCCACATCTTCATTCAAAAGTAAAATAATAATTTAGATCTTATAGGGTGTCTTTAAAATGCGTAGCCAACGTAAGATTAGAGATTACTTGTGTCTTGATAACTTCGATCGTTAAAAATGTCAGTGGGATTGAGATCTGGCGTTTGTGATGGTCGCTCTTTTTATCAAGAAATGGTGCTAACAAACAAATATTACAACTTTCTCTGTATTTATTATGACGCCCCTTCTGATAAAAGAGCAATTGGTCTGTAATCGTACATATATTTAATTTTATACTATACTTATTTGAGATTACTTCTTTTATTTCAAAATTAGATTGAGTCTAAAACCCTTTAATTAATGATATTTACAGATTTTAAGATAACTATTTGTTCAGTCCAGACAATTTGCTGTTATTTCCTGGAATTAAATTAATCTTCAATTAGTAATTAATTAATTACATATCATTAAGGGAGTATTAAGTGTAATTGCATGAATATTATTGTTCCAAGATGTTCCAATGATCGTAACTCCAATAAAGCATAGATGAAGACAAATCTGAGAAGAAAAGATAAATGTGTACATTGAAATAAGATCAAACCTGAAAGATAGTGCCGTTCTGTGTGAATGTGAAGCTATGTCAGTCGCATCTGATGTCGGATGTATTGCAGGTGGGTATGAATTTGAATCCACTGATATTGAACCAATTGTGCAAAATTCCGAAAATTGCGTATTACTTAAGATATTAAACTAATTCAAATTAATTATAATTTTTAAAAAAATCCCCGTACGGAAGTGGTTTTAGAAGCAACGTGCTTAAATTTCTCAGGATAAGATCGATGTGGCGAAGACAGTTACATTTAAATACAAAATTATTTTTTTTTTAGAAATTCCAAATAATTTATCTTATCTCTATTTAAATCCATAAAAAATACAACGTATAGTATATTTCCTTGAACGTAAGATTTTTCCATCAGTACTGATATACGAATATTTCTATTAATATATATGACTATAGTAAAAATTTTAATCTTTCATAGCGAAATTAGTTTCTGGCGTTTTTCTCAAAATTATAAAGAGTGGACTAGTTTTTGAATATTTTGCATGTTTAAGCAAAAATTTCTGAAATCCTCCATTACTTTGATTATGTACCTGTAACATCATTAGTGGGATTCGCTTTCTTAACAACCACACCGTTTTTTTCTTCAACGGTGATAATCTCGTTAGATAATTTAAGTTTAGGAAAAATATATTGACAAACATATAAATGAACTTTTGATATACCTATTTAATTTTTTTGTTGATCGCTATATATTTGTAGACATAGATAAGTAATCCTGTTTAAAATATAGGAAGCTTGTCGTAGGTACTAGAATTACACCCTGTAGAATATTAAATAATTTGTGCACACTAAAACGAGGATAGCTATTTTTATGATAAGAGTACCCACACTTATGATTTAGGTACTTGTAATAATTTATTACGTTTTTTGGAATTCTTACAAAGAGGGCAGCCATGTTCCGACTGAGTATATTAATAATATGCTATATCTCTTCATATATTGATTGCATTGTAAAATTTGAACTCACGACCTTTAGATGAAAGATTATAAGTACAAAAAAATATATTCTTTTTTTTAAAACTTCCCAGAATGTAAAAGGTACTTATACTTACAATTAATACTTACTTAGTTACTTACTTAATTAATAATTACTTAGGTAGGTAGGATACATTTCCAAAAAATATAAAATTAAAGTAAAAAATCTTAGACTTGGGATATCTTTATCGGAATTTCATAATATGGCTAGAAAACAATGTTTATTACATCCATAACAATTTTTAGAAATGTACGTATAACAGTTATATACTAAAAAAATTTGAATGGACTTTATTAAAACAAGATGGTTCTAATTTCGTATTAGAATAATATAATAGAATATATTGTGTTGAATGAGCAAAATTTTTACCATATCTAAAAAGATATTAAAGAGCATTTTAGATTTTCTAAAATTTGACGAATTTGAAGAATAACGGCATTTGGTAATAATATATAATATAATATTAGAGTTTTAATTATTATCGAAATTTGATGGTTGTATTTTATTTAGAAATATTGACAGCAACCTACTAGATAATGTATCAAGAAAAATTAAAAATACACAACTTGCGATAAAACATTTTTTTCCTGAAAAACGGTGCGTTCGACGAAAAAAATTGAAGAGACTAATTTCATTCAGAATTGATGGCGGATTTCTAAAAAAATATCAAAAAATGGAAAAAATAAGTGGCGTACCATTTTTTTTATTAAAAAGTTTGTGGCATTCTCGCACGAACGCCACTGGTGCAAGTAAAAATATTCGGTTCATCCCAAAAAATGCACATTTATCCCTCCAAAGCGTTTTTCAAATTTCGAGTCAATCTTTGAAACTCTGGTAAAATTAGTAAAAATTTAAATTTGAACACACTGTATCTTGGAAAACAAGCATATTTCGACCTACATTTATATGAACTTTTTTTCTCAAAATAACTTCGGCAACCACTCCCTAAAATATTTAGCACTTATTTACAAACACCCTGTATATCTGTTTGAGACAAAAAAATATGTAACGGGTAAATCAGAAACAATAATGCCTAATTGGGTAGCTATGGGCCTATATATTAATACTATAGGTACTACCTACCTAGCTAAAAAAAATGTACATAGAAAATTGAAATTCTTAATACCTATCTATCAGTTGAAAAAAATAATAGGAGGGAAACTGAAATATCTAAATAGGTAGCTAGGTAGATACCAAGTGATTACTTAATACTTAAGCAGATAAGTATCGTAATTCTATAAAAGTATATTTTTACTTGCATCAATTAGAAAATGCTTTCAAAATTTTTTACACAAAAAAATCACATAATAAATAAAAATTAAGTTTGAGAAAAGTGGCTAAAGTAACGAGATGTATAAACTCCCAGTAGGTAATTATTTTTTAAGCGTCATAGAACCCATTTTATTTTCAGGCGACATAGTAGGAAAAGTAAAGCGGGATAGAAGTAGAAAATAAACCGAGAAGGGCAAAACCAGCATCAGTATATGCCGTAGAGAAAAAGTGTTTCAAATTCATATAACTGCACTCGCAGTTAGTTGGTGTTGTGGCCCCACTGTGTAAAAGGTGTTTCGTGATTAATCTCGGATAGTTTAAAAATTAATAATCCTCTATCGATGAAGAAATGTCAAAAAGGCACGTTGCATATATAAAACCGGACGAACCAAGTTTTTTAAAGAAACTGAAACAGCAAGCTGGTTTTACAGAGGGTCCAACGGTAGACACTAAAGTAGGTTAGGTTATACATTTATATATTTTTTTTATTATGGTTTATTTTTATTTAGCGTGAAGGTTTGGATGCTGTTGCTGACGAGGATTTGCAGGACACAGAGGAGGAACAACCAACAGTAGTTGTTTTAAAATCAGGAGATTTAACTGCCGAAGAAGCTGCTCAAGAAGCAGAGAAGTTGAGGAAGGGTAAGAATATATTAGTAGATACCTTTTTGCATGCGTGCTGGAGTCGTTGCCTGTTTGCACCAATCACCGTAACAAACATATCATGTTTTTTTAGAAAATATTTGTAATAATTATTGTGAAAATTAATAAAAGCAGGCGGCGTCTCAGAACAGGGATCGTACCAGCTCGTGTAGTTCCGGTTTGCGCAAGATCAGTTGCTTGGCGCGAACTTAAACCCGCGAAGTCCTGAAATTTAATTTTCTGCAAAGAGCGCACAAACTTTTAAATTTTAAATTTAAAAATGTAAAGAGGATTATATGATGGAAATTCTATGCAAACTGGTAATATATATGCATCACTAACAGAAACAGAAATAGGAATAAAGTTACAGACCCCGCATTTTGTATTTTATTTTTCACCACGTTATTGTGCTATTTAGACAGAGCCGCACTTATGCTAGCTACTGTGCGACAGAGAAGAACATAATTTTCTGGACACGTGATCATTTTAGCTCGTATTAAGACTTTGGAAAGGTTGCTTACTCCCCTTTTCACGAAAATGGTTTGGTCTATTATACGAAACGGTATTTTGCTCCAGCCTGACTACCAGATAAAATTTTCTTGGTCGGCCATTATTAATAAAACTATCTCGGGCGCTTTTTCGCAATTTGATTTGGCGGGCCCACTATTTCTTCCGGTTTCTTTCACAAAAAAATTGAGAAACCGTTATGAATTAAATTTAATTATGACACCTTCCTGTTAGAAATACTGGGCTATCATCTTTATTAACCACCAAATTTACTGAAAATATTTTTGGCGGTTGTTTGTAAACTAGACTTTTTAACAACTTTTGCATTATGCAAATTAAATTACCTAGATAGTGTAATATTTTAAATGAATAACGATTGTACCTCCTTCTTTTCGTTTGTCCTGTAAATAATGGGCTTTCTACTCATATTATTCAATAATCACTTTTAAAATGTATATACTGGGTGTTTTTAAGTTAAGTCCAGAAGAATTTTCCCTTTTTATATGATAATTAGGGGCAGCTCACATATTGTAATCTATAAATTACAGTATAGGACTATGAAAATAATAATGTACTTATTTTTATTTTACCAAATACGTGCATGGCGCAATAGAAATCATAGACATTTCGTCATGTTTTAATATATTCATCAGATATTAAAAATATTTATTCCTAACACACGTGTAGGTAATAACAATAAATGTTGCAGTAAAGCAAAATAATGATAAATGTTAATTGGTATAATTTTATAGAAGAAAATGTACGAATTTTTTTAAATCGTTTTGGAATCTTTTTAATTTTTATACATTTTTCTAACTAAAATAATTGAAAAACAAAATAATATATTTTAATGATGAAGATTTCTCATTTCTATATAAAAAATGGATACAAATCCAATTTGTATAAGTACCTAGGTATCTGATATATATGAAATGTTTGAAAATATCAAGGTTTACCCATTAACATGTTTTTTTTATCAAATTTAATCTGTAATGTATGTGATACGAGATGTGATCTTACAAAAATGTGGATCCATTCTTTGACAAACTTGTCGGATCTCCAAATATGCCCAGCATTTGTTAATAACCAGGAAAATAATAGTTCTGAAAACTGAACTATTATTTTCCTGGTTATTATTATTATTTTCTTAATGTTTAAAACGTAAATCGTAACAAAACCTGGTTAACGTTACAGTTAAATTTTAAATAAATATAGGTAGGTACTTTCATATTGCCTCGAATTGTGGAATTGAAATCGCCAGAGTAGGTACTATACTCATTATATTACGAGTATAATACATAGTTTTATTTGGTTTTATAAAGAAATTAATATTTTTTTACACACACATGCGAAAAATACAATTGTCATAAGACGAAAATGAAAATGTCAAATTTAATTAAATTGAATATAAAATTAAATATGGGAAAAAATTTTCAACTCAAGTTTGTGCACCACGTAAAAAATTGGCATTTTCATCTCTTGTAAAATGTTACAATTCAAATCTCAAAAATTTAATACCGTGCAAATGAAAAAAAAATTGCAGTGATATAAACCTGGAATTTGTATTTTAATTTTTGAATTTTCGTAGATCGGAGTTATTCCTATAAAGATAAAGAATATTACTATATACGTAATTATTGTATTTTAATTAAAGAATTCAATTTGACAAGAAAATGAAAGAAACACAGTTTAGATATTACGGTTTGCATGGAATAAGTATGCCTTAAAAGTTGGGGCTTTATATTGGTCTGTTTCCTTAATTTTATTATTTTTTCTGGTATATTAAATAGAAACAGAGGAAGCCCCGGCTGATCTAAGTTCCCGAATAGTGTTTAAAGCCCCTGGTAAATCCAAATCTTTAGAAAAGCCCGAAGAAAAATCCTCCAAGAGAAAAAAGGATTCGAAGGATAAAGATTCAAAAAAATTAAAAAACAAGAAATTGTTGTCATTTGACGAAGAAGAGGACGAGGACTATTAATTTTTTTCCTGGGAGATCTGTGGTAAGTGACATGATTTGTTCTCTAGTTAGCAACAAAAATCGATATCTGCTGTAGTACCCAGTACAATGTAATGTACGCGAAATTCGTAAGTAGAATATTTAATGCTCGAAAAACTTATCAGTCTTATCATTTTAAATACTTCAAAATATAGTAGGTATAATGAAAACTAATAAGCTTTCGTAATTAATATTTATAAAATAATTATTATTAGGTTTTCTATATTTAACTTATGTACATACGATTTGAAAAATTATACAGTGAGTTTTTTTTTTAAACTTACTGTCTGTGATTTAAATAAGTTAGTCGTAATTTTTTTCGTAGACTATTTACAAAAATAAATTACAAGCGCTTAATCAGTCATTTATTTTTAGCTTGAATTAATAATTACATATACAAATAATTAAAAAGTGGGTAGAATTAGTCTTTATAGTTAATTTAAACCAAATTTCCTGTTTGTTTTTTAATTAATTTATGTAGGTGGCAGATAGTTTTTAAGTATATCGATTATTTTTGTTTCTTATTAACATATTACTTTGGTCCAGATTTTTAATTGGTAATTTAATAAATGTTGGTAAGGTGCCTCTGTTTACAGTATGGAAAGAAAATTAGTGCATCTATTATATTATATCTGCTCCAAAACTGATATTGCTTGAGACTAAAAATAAGATAATGAATTTGTAACTCGTTTAGAACTATACGAAAGTAGTTTTTAATTTGAGGAATAAGTACATTTTAATTTTCAGTTGGGTAAAAGAGGAGGTACCTAAAGTAGGTATTTTTAGCAAATCTAACGGGTTGATTTGGGGACCTTTTAAAAACAACTAACTCCAGACAAACACAGAAGCAAAACAAAATTAGTACAACTACCTAGATAGAGGTATATACAATTACTTTCAAATCAGATAAACTTGGCAAACAAATCAAGCCCATCTCAACTATTGAGTCTTTTTTTACCAAAATCAAGTATCCAAAAGAAGTTATAAACTTTTTTGGCTAAAAATAAATTTGTTATAATAATTTATTGGAAAGCGGTATATGACGAAGACCTCTGGTAGGCGTTGAGAAAAAGTTATTAGATACACAGTATACATGAACAAAATGAGGTTTGGGCGCAACCATTCCTCGTATGAGGGGTGTCCGCTATGCTTTTTTGCCGGGTGCGGTAATCTTCCTAAAGAAATTATACACGTTGCTTTAGTAGGAATGACGCCCTACATTCATTTTTGCGACCATTACTTCCTAATGAATTACTTATTTAGAAAATTAATTGTAAGAAATATGTCGCGCTAAATTTAAATTACAATTGCCGGTTTATTTCTTTTATCATTGAGATATAATCAGGTTTATTTGAGGATAAATATTTTTCCCGAGCTTGTGAAATCGGTAAATCCAAGTTGCCTTTCATTAATAAATTTAAAGAAAACGTCTGTATCTTAACATCTTCAGTTTACAAAAGTGTAAGATGAAAATGTAAAAAAATAATATTCGCCCGGTATTCATTGATTTATATTTAGACTCTTAGGCACTCTCTGGATGAAAATGAGCTAGATATGTGATATTTAATCAATATATTTTCTCAATTGTTGTAAATTTGTGCCCGTGCTTACGTAATGAAAAAATTTTAAGACATCTCGGGATGGAGAGCTACGTCACTATTTTTGATCACGTGACGTACCGTTAGACGCCATATTGGCAGTTTAGTGCGATACGAGGGGTTAGCGACGTGTGTTGGCGTTTCTTAAAGGTTTTCTAATTATTAAAAATAATAATTATCAATAAGACGTTTATTGAAGATCGGTATTTATGTTGTTATGTAGAGTTCAAGTGTCAACAGTTTTGAATATCGCGGGTTAAGCATTAGTTCGGGTATTTACGACAATTGTCACAGAGTTCTATTGGCGGTGCAGATGTTCTCTGTTTCTTTCAAGTGAAATCCCATGTGCTATGGCGGGAATAAAGATGAATTAAAGCGTTTATGGTAAATATCTCGTGCAGTGTAAAATTTTGTGAAAAATTGGAGAGTGTGCGACATATAAAAAATTGTAAAAGCTAAACAAAAGTTTTCTGTCCCGCACCGTCGTTGGCAACACTGAATGTGTTATCATTTTCTTTAGAGTGGGGTTTAAATTTTACCTTTCAAAATTGTTGCTTTGTGGTATATTAGTTAATAAATATTTTTTTTTATACATATGCATTGCACATTGTTTCCACGTTTACTTTATGAAGTATAACGACTAAACTGGAGTGTACAAAATTATTGAAGTAAATTTCTTGCTTTGTTTTTTAAAGAAATTAAAATAAGTTACTGGTTAAAGTCGAATAAAATACTGTGCTATTTTTATGAAACACTATTTTTTCTTTATAAGTTTATGTTGCCATAACGACAATGAATGTTGATAAACAATGTATAATTTTCTTTAGCTTAAGTTTCACTTGCAACAGTTTTTTTTAGGTGAAACCAAAATTTTAGCTGTAGAAAATTTTAATAAGAACATAAGATATTAGTGAAAATAATTGTGGATTACTATAAAACATAAATATACATATATGTAATTGTAAATATTTTAGTAGAAACTTTAGGAGAATAAACACGTTAGATTTGATAAATACATATATCATGTAATTTTATAGATAGTAAAGAAAATGTATATAAAGTTCTTTTATTTATTAAATGGAAAACAATTTGTTTTATTTCCGAAAGATACACATAGATCGGAAAATTCTGTAACTTGATTTAGTTTCTTTTGAGTAAATTTTATAAGAAAACTTTACTAGTAACATGACGACTTTCTAAAAGTCTGTCATCAAAAGTGTTAGAAGTTTTTAATTTATTTGCTGAATTTGGAAATAGGTAGTCTCATACCTATGTGAGCAAAACAAAACACTGTATGAATCATGCAAATTCAATTTGCAATTAAGGGAATTTTTCAGAAATATTTTACTGAAATTTTATGCTAGAGATTTAATTGAGAAAAATTATTCTCATCCTATGGTAATTTGTAAACCCTTTTTTTATACTGAAAAGAACTGATTTTTAAACTTCCTCTTCTCTAATTTATTAAAATGAAATATGTCCTATGAACTTTAAAGATATGTTTACTAATTTTTTAACTTGATTTTGTTTTAATTTCAAGAAATACTTACTCGTAGATATAAATAATAAAAGTATACTCACATATTTTGCTAGATTTAATTTATATTCAAGTGATGGAATGTAAATTTACTTTGGGCTTACCAATACTATTTAATCTTTTTACAAACGTGAATACCTAAATAAAAGCCTACTATTATAAAAATATATACCTAATTCAGAGCCTGCTATTTGTATTTGTTTATGGTTTGTTTTTTCCTTTGACAGAATTGACTTATACTGGCTATGGCAGCTGTTGCTGACATGGGGGAGGTTGATGAAGTGCATTCTAAGGAAGAAGGTATGTACATTTAAATAGTAAAATCCTTGGTATAATTTTTTTTTGCTTTTCTAGGTAGTGTTGTGAATGGCGAGTTATCAAATGATGTTGATATGGACAATCAAGATAGTCAAGATAGTATTAAGAAAAGCAGCCTGCCAGATTCAATGGAAGTTGATGAGAGTGAAAATGAGAATATCGAAGCGAAAGAGACGACGCACGAAGCTGTGAGCACAACTGAAGAGAGCACTGAAGAAAACACCGCAGAAGAAAGTTCTGTGGCCACCGAAAATTTATCAGATATTAATGAAGATGAAAGTAGCCAAGAAACAAAAATGAGTGAAGATCAAATTGAAGAAGGTCCAGAAGAGATTGAAGAGTGTGTTGAGCACCCGGATGAGGAACCACAAAGAGAAAATAATGAAAATTCAGCATCTCCAATCGAAGACCAAGACAGTAAAGATGAAACTTGTGATTCCATAGCAACTTCTGAGAAGCAAGATGAGAAACATGATGAAATAGAAAAAGATGTGGACTGTGAAAATAAAATTGTAGAAATTAATGAAGAAGATGAAGTTCACGAGATAGAATCTGACGATGATGATAATAGTAAAGGTAATAAAATTAATTGTACTGATGAACCAATAGAATTAAATGATTCGGGTGGTGAGGGTGACGGCGATGTTATGATTGTTGACCCGCCTAAAGAAAATGGTGAAGTTATAGATTTAGATGCAACCCCCGAAAAGAAAATAAAGTCTTTGTTGGAATCAATAACTCCTAGGCGGAGTACGAGAAACTTAAACAAAAATAGAAGTTATGCAGAAAGTGATAAAGAAGAGGAAGAGGCATCGGCTCATTCCTCTGAAGAATCCGACATTGAGGAAGTTCTTCCTCAAGATCCCCTTGCTTGCAGCGATGCTATAACCGTGGAGAAAGTACCTGCTGACAAATCAAAATCAGTGGCAAAGCCTTCAACGATAGTTGTAAAAGACACTAAAAGATTGGTAGAAATAGCTTCAAAGTCAAATAACACTTCTCAGGGTAAGAAAGAACCTACCCTCGTAATTATCGATACTAATTCAATATTATCAGGCCGAGGTCCTGTTCCCGTAAGCAACAAGACTCCTTCCTCGGCAATATCTACCTCCACTTATCCCTCCATGCTCCCCATGGCTCTTCCTGCCCAAGGAATGTACCCTCCCAACATGAGAGCTACTATAACACCTATTCCTATGAACACTCCAAACATTACATCGACTCCTCCTCCGAAAACTTCTCCCGCTACTATTACACCAACATTGGCCACACCGTTACTTCCCACACTCACCGACGATATGTTTGTGGTTGAAGCGCCATCGTTTATCGTACCTTATGTTTACGAGAAACCTCCCGTTAAAGACTTGAGGGATTTTATAAAGGGACTTGAGGCTGTAAAGGTTAACCAAAAAAAATCAGAGGATGCGGAAAACGAAGATGGAGATGGAGAGAAAAGTGAGGATGGAAGCAAATCCAAAAGTGAGGATGGAAGCAAATCCAAAAAAGATGATGATGAAAAGCAAGATGCAGTAGATAAGGAAGACACCAAGAAAGAGGAACCAAAGAAAGAATTTGATGACAGTAAAAAACCTTACTCGTATTTCGAGAGCCCTCTTGGGAAATTCTTTATCAACATAGGTTTTAATATGGTTCAGGAGTTCGTACAGTCTGATTTATTAAAGCAACAGAAACGGAAACGCGACAGGGAAGGAGGAACCAACCCTGAGACAGAAAAAACAATAAAATCATTAGCTAAGAATTTAGAATACAGTAAGGAAAATAATGAACCGTTCAAAAATCCTATTAAAAAATGTGAATTCTGTAACTTCAAAACTGAATCTGCATTGGCGATGGCATATCACTTGGAGACGCCACACATGAAGAACTTCGTATACAAGTGCAACTTTTGCCCGTACGAGGTGCGAAGTCCTCACGACATATTATTCCACATGGAGGCGGAACACGCCGTCAGAGGTCACCTCGAAAGGGCGCCCGCATTCCATCAGTGTCCCAACTGTCCATTCGAAGACAATCAGAAGGGTAAATTGTCTCGACACTTGGTGGCTTGTATGCGGAAATTTAAGCCCGAACGGAATCTCGAGCCCCCAGTGGACTGGGAACCCCCCGCGAAAATACCAAGAGTGCCTAAGATGAGACAGCAAGGCCTTAATGCTACGGCGGCGGCATATCAGGCAATGTCGAAGACGTCTCAGTACCAGTTCCTATCGAAGATGCAGTTGCAGAGCACGCAACAGGCGATGCAGAGGGGTAGGGGACGGCCATCGCTAGGAAACGTTAAACCTCAGACTGTACTTAGACCATCGGGCATGGTATTTAAGCAACAAGCGATGGCCGGGGGCTCTGTTTTGGTGCCCACAAATTATCAACTTAGCGGAAATCAAGTGTTTCAGGTAATAATATACTATTATTTTAAATTGTTTCAGATTATTCTCTGTACGTACTTATTTGTCACTAAAAAGTGTTTCTAGTTTTCTAAATTTAAAAAAAAGCAATAATTTATCTCTGATTATACACTTTTGTGTTAGCTCTTGTGCTTTTTCCTTTACTTTAAAAGGTATCAAGCTAATTTAAATAACTTTAAATATCGTTTTTAAATTTTTATCAAATGATGTCTTGTAATACTAATATCTGGGTGTATCAAAAAAATTACTCCACAGCCACACAAAAAAAAAGTAGTTGGTACTTTTCATGCGACCTATGTTATCCGCAGTATTTTTGCCTCCTGATCACGAATCCGGCGTCAGATTGAGCTATCACATCACAGGAATTTCCTAACCTCAAAAAACAGGTCAAAAATAGCAAAAATTAATAAAAAAGTGGTAGGAAAAATACAATTTTTTTTTTTCTATATTGTAATGTTCATTTATATGGTTAGGACCTCTCCGAACCTGAATCTGCAGTCAGAATTGATGGTTCTTTTTCTAACCTCAAAAATATGGGTCAGATATCAGGAATTTCCAAAAAGAATAACACATTCACGCCAAATTTGGTATATGGAGGTTTTCGGGGTCGCTGATCACAGATTCTAGGTCAGTTTTACTAAATTCGTTTTTAAAAATTTAATCAATTACCTATGTACTTTATTACCTGAGATTAGGGGGAAAACTCGTTAATAGATCTTTTACAAAAAAAAAGGAACAAGATATAGCCATAAAGAAGGTTAAAACATGATTGGGTACTCATTTTTTGAAAATTTGGGCGGCCATCTTGGATCCGCCATCTTGAATTTTGCAAAATTTACCTTGGATCTGTGTTCACTGACCCCTAAAACCCTCGCATACCAAATTTGACGCGAATGTTATTTTTTGAAAATTTGTTCGGCCATCTTGACCTTAATTGACCTGTTTTTTTGAGGTTAGAAAAAGAACCATCAATTCTGACAGCGGATTCACGTTGGGCGGGGTCTTAATAACAAAATAAATGAACATTTGAATATAGAAAAAAACTTTTTTGTATTTTTCCTAGCACTTTTTCGTAAATTTTTGACTTGTTTTGTAAGGTTAGGAAATTCCTGTGATGTAATAGCTCAATTCTGACACCGGATTTTTTTCTTCGGATACTTAAATATTGGTATTACAGAGCAAAATACTCTTCATTTAGTGAAAATTTTAGGAAAGTTGTCAGAATACGTTTGAATCACCTTAATACTTCCCTATTAATTTCAAATGGGCGAATTGAACATTTTCCGATACCTTGTGATCTTTTCTTTGGTACCAGTTTATACTTTTCACGGTACTTGCGAGTTTTTAGTACATGCCTTATAAGTTTATTGCTAGTGTCGAGAGTGAAAAGTAAAGTAGGATATGTGTTAGGTGGTGGGAGGACAAGATATAAGCGGCCGGCTTGGTAATCCTGGCCACATGTTTCTCCCCAACATGCCTTCCGCCTCTAGCACTATGGCCATACAGGTACGACAGATTTGCCTGTGTATCCACTTTTCTTTCAGTGTCCCTAAACTCGTTAAATTGCTCCACAACAGTTAGACAATAAACGCTAGGTGAAACTTTCGCCAGTGTTGCAAAACAATTTAGCCTTATAAATTTCTCAAACACATTTTTATATTAGAACCGCTATGATAAAATCTTGAGGTTGGTGTACTTGAATGTCGGTTTCACAGTTCTTCGTGATTTTGCAAATATTTCAAATATCCCGTAAATGTGTCTGTAACTTTTGTGAAGCAGTTTTACTACATTACGCTTTTTTTTAATAGTTTGAATATTTACATTAACTCTAGTCGCTGTATTATGTATTATTTAACCATTTTCCATAGCAATTTTTTCTTTGGCCATATGGAGGACGCAAACTTAGAAGCCTTAAGGTTTAACCTTGCTAATTTCTTTACAAAGTTATTAAAAACTACGTATTTTTAACAATATGTATGCAGGGTGTTTCCGAATAGCGTACCATAAATTCTAAGGGTAATAGAAATATTAAAAAAAATTGGCTCAGATTATTCATATTATAAGGGCATCATCATTTATTTTCAGGAGAGTTAAAGTTATTATTTATTTTTTTTAATGATATTTGTCAATGTTTCTAATTGCAATGTACTTATTAATTCAATATACATGAAGTAAATACTGCGGAAGGCTCAGGAGAAGGAATAGGTAGCATTTTTAACGAACTTAAAAGATTTTCCACCGCTAATGGAAACAATGTTTTATTTATTTTTAATTTCGAAATTAATTTATGCATTGGCGAAAATGATAATCATTTTGAACCTCTGTTGTATTAGGTATTATTCTTTGTTTATTGTTAACTGATAATTGATTGAATAATACATACAAATTTGTGAATAGTTGACGGTTTATCAAAGGAAGTTTAAAGAGGATTTTTAACCACATCCTTTAGTAATTGTCAATCGAATGTCCTACACTTTAGCAACCAAATTCGATTCAATGGAATTATAGTCAAATTTCTTTTGATCGATTGGTCTTATGGCCCCTCAAAACGTATACTCAAATTTTTTTTGAAACTTTAACACCCGGCATCTTGAAAACAGGACCTGTAGTTTATAAAAAAAATTTCATTGTACCTAGAATTGATGGTATGTTACCCTGAAACATTCCAGTGTTAATATTTATGTGCAAAATACGTAGTTTTTGGATTAAATCGTTTTGTAATTGTTTCAAAAACGGCTTATATCTTACAGACTGCCAACCAGGGTAAGAAACCTACCCAACAGCCGAGCATCTCTATTACGCCCTTGCCCCGGGTAACGACAGCTACCGCATCTCCTGTGGCTCCCGCCAAGCCCGGCGACACTACCTCAAAGAACTCTTTCGTTATTTGTGAAATTTGCGACGGATACATCAAGGATCTGGAACAATTACGGAATCACATGCAGTGGATACACAAGATTAAAATTCATCCAAAGATGATATATAATAGACCACCTCTTAATTGCCAGAAGTGTCAGTTTAGGTTCTTTACTGATCAAGGTTTGGAGAGGCATTTATTAGGGTCACACGGACTTGTCACTTCTAGTATGCAAGATGCGGCGAATAAGAGCAAGGACTCTGGGCGGTGTCCTGTTTGCGGAAGGGTAAGCGATATACGTCCATATTCAATTAATATGATTTTGAAAGGGAGATAAATAATTCCAGAGGTATCATTTCAGGCCAAAAGTCTAAAAGTACTGGCACGTTGAAATAAAAAAAAGGTACTTTTTATTTTAAAATAGTCTGATATACGGAAATTGATGAAAAACGTCAAGTGATATGGTGACTTTTGGAACTTTGTAATATTTTAATTTTTCTCTAGATTTCAAAGGAAGAACGACAACAACAAAAGGTTTTTTTGTTATGCTCCACAATTTTTTTTTTAATCTAAGTATTATTTTCTCCCGAACAGTTCTTTTTTCAGGCTTCAAAGTGGTATGCCTTTATTACAGAAAAATGTCCAGAGAAATATTAAATTAATTTATTTATTTACGAAAACTCCATAAATTATACATCGTTATAAAGAGAATTTCCCTTCTTAGACTAGGGCGGATCTAAGTGGAGAGGAGGCAATAAAAATTTTTTCTGCATTACATTCAGCACAACTCGCATAATAAAAGTGTATATTCTTAGATCTGGGCGAGGTCCGGAACATTTTCAAAATTGCAAAAATGTTTAAAAAAATATAAAAAATGCCTATTTTATTTGAGTTTTTTACTTATATCTTGGAACCTATGCATTTTAGAAGAATATTGAAGAGGAAAAAAGTATTAGAATTGAATTTTGCACAATACGTTACGTACGTACGATACGTACGTTAAAAATGTTTAAATTTATTGTTGCAAAATAGCAATAATTGATGAAAAAAAAGGCAAAATAATCAAGTTTTGTGGATAATTTTTTAAAAATATTTTAATTGCTCCGAGTGCATTCTAATTTTGATAAAAGAAACTTTAGAGCAAGGGTCGGCAACTGGCGGACTGCGGTCCAGGTCCGGACCACGGAAGGTAAAATACTGGACCGCCATAAATTACTCAAATAAATTATTTAAAAAATGTTTTTTTACGTTTGAGTGCCAACCTTATCATTTTTTCTAGTATTTTACAATTGTGTGAGTGTTTTGAGTTCTTAATGGTTAGTAAGCAGATTAAATTTGAGTCCGAATGAAAATCTGTAAGAAATATTAATTTTTTTTCTGGACCTCGTTAAAAATTTTTAAAAGTATCCGGACCCCACCTAAAATTGCTTGCCGACCCCTGCTTTAGAGTATAATAAAGCAACACACCAAATTTCATTAAAATCGGTACAATAGTTTTCACAAAATAAGTTTTTATAAAAAATTTTTGAATTTTCAAAATGTTGCAGAGCCTCAGATAAAGCATCTAGATACTTGAAAATTTTTTCACATAGAAAAGACCGCTCAACCTTTCATATTGTTTTTGAAAAATTGAAATTGGTTGATTAGGACGACCACAGTAAATTTTAGTTTACACTTTTTTTGTTTTTAAATAATTAGATTACATTTATCAATTTGTAATTTAGTTTTTTCAAAAATTATAATTTTAAAGTACTATTTTTTCTTAATTTTATCTGTATTTAACAAAAAAATAAATTTCCAAATTAAAAAAAAATTTAATTTGTTTAAACAAAAATTATTTAAATGTAATAATTATAACTAAATATATTCATATTCAGAGTGTTGAAATATATACATAAACAAATTTTTTCATTGAAAAAAATGCAATAGCATATGGTAAAATATACAGTATATTTAATGCATAAATAATAAACTTTGTTTATAACAAAATATGTGCAAATTAGACAGTTGTCATTAACGATATTCGAATTCCTTGGTTCCCGAGACATCGGATTAAAAACAAAAGATCGAAATTGGTCCATTAGAAGCGGAGATAATGCAATTTTTTTCGTACCTTCACATTTTGAATCTCCCAATTCAGTCTCGGAACGAAAAACCCCCTCCCCCACTTTTCGTGTTTTGAGTCATTTTTCGCTTGTGCGAGCGACAGCTTTTATGCTGATTTATCTATGTTGCTGATAACTTATAGATATGAAAATTTTTGCAGCTTAGAACTCGGAAAAATGAAGCCACTGGATCAAAGATTATTGCTAAATTGTTTATAGATGAACGGTAAATGCCGATAAACTTTGACCGCTTATATCTTGAGAACCAATAATCGGAATTTAACATTTTTTTAAAAAAATAAGCGTCTTTCAGAGTACTTTAAAACTATAATTTTTGAGAAAACTAAATTGCAAATTGATAAATGTAATCTAATTGTTTAAAATAAAAAAAGAGTTAACTTTAAAAATTTACTGTGGAAAGGTTGAGTGGTCTTTTCTATGTGAAAAAATTTTCAAGTATCTAGTTGCTTTATTTGAGGCTGTGTAACAATTTGAAAATTTGAAAATATATTTTCAAAATTAGAAAATTATTTTGCGAAAACTATCGAAACGATATTAATGAAATTTGGTGTGTTGTTTCATTATACTCTCTAAAGTTTTTTTTTTACCAAAATTAGAATGCCCTCAGAGCAATTAAAATTATTTAAAAAAATATCCAAAAAACTTGATTATTTTGCCTTTTTTTTGTCAATTACTGCTATTTTATAACATCGGTAATAAATTAAACATTTTTAACATACAGTAAATTGTGCAAAATTCAATTCTAAAACTTTTTTCCTCTTCAATATTCTTCCAAAATGCATAGGTTCCAAGATATAAGTAAAAGACTCAAAGAAAATAGGTATTTTTTAAAATTTTTTAAACATTTGCAATTTTGAAAATGTTCCGGTCCTCGCTCAGATCTAGGGATCTACACTTTCATTATGTGAGTTCTACTGAAGGTATTCCAACAAAAATTAGCTTGCCACCTCTTATATCCAAGAAGTGGGATATTTTGACAGATCAACCCTGATCTATCTCTTGTAATGAGGCAAAAATTCAATATGGCGTCACATTATTTTATATCAGATATCATTTTTGTCCTAAAATTTTTTTAAATGGGTGAAATTTGACTGAAAAGAGAAATAGCATCAGTTCCCTTTGCATACCTTCGGAATTTTCTGTGACATTTTCGCTGATTTGACCATTTCTGTGTCTCTTAAAATAAGAAAGATACCTGTATCGGACAATTTAAAAGTTGCGACCCTGTATATTTAGAAACATTTTATATAAAAAAAGTGCCCTGGAAATATTATTTTCTCAAACAGCTTTAGAGCGAAATCAGTACGATAAAGAAATACTCGATTTCAGGTATATCAGTGGAAACTGCTGAACCATGTGGCTCGGGACCACAACATGACGTTGAAGCCCGCCCATCTGTCCTATAAATGTACGGTGTGCACCGCGACGTTTGGAATGTACAAGCAGTTCGAGAACCACGTCTACTCGGCCCACAGCGTGGTGGCCAAGCGCGTGATGGATAAAAAGAGTGCCTCGTCGTCGCCAGCGGCGGCCAATAAAAGTGATCAGATGAAACCGCTTAAAATAAATGACGAAATCACAATAATTCCCCAGCCGGCGAAATCCACTAACGGGGCTAGCAAGGAAGGCAGCCCCTCTTCTACAGGGTCAAACAATTCCAGAAATAGCACTCCGAGTACTAGCAAAAGTAGGTAAATTATTTAATTAGAGAAAAGTGGCACACAATGGTATCGTTATATCATTTATTTAATACTGTATACATACTGGCCTTTTATAATATATATTTAACGATTTAATTTTTGTATCGAGAAAAGTGTAAAGTTTAGTAAACAATTAATAGTTGTAGTAACTGTAAGAAGCTAAATATACAAATACAATTTTTATCAATTAATTATTATATATACTCATTTTGGAAGGGGGCTCGTGTGAACCGGAAAAGGAGCTTTGCCCGTCCTCGAAGGAACCTTGTAAAAGACCCGCTAAATAATAAAAATAGGAGTAAAATTTTGCAAATCTTTACAAAGATTGTGATATTCTACTTTAAAGAGATCTCAACTCTGGAGCGTCTAAAAGTTACAGAAAATATTCCCATGCATTATTTACTCGCTATTTATTTGTATATAATCATTTACTGTTCTCTCGTTTTGTTTAAAAAATGTTAAATGTATCAGAATATTATTTTTAGAAGAAAAAAAAAGTGAGGCTGCAACTAGGAAGTAGAGAACAGTTGTTAAATTGATACAGGAGAGATTGTAGTTAACAGTACTATACGTAAAAGTAAGGACATTGTATTATTGTATTATTTATTTAATAATAATAATAAATAAAGCACCAGCAGTTGTTTCTTCTCTTAGGAAAACTTATTTTCGAGAATATGCGAAACAACACTTTTGAGTTGACCATAAATCAAAGACTTTGTCGTAGCGTTTTTTGTGTCGCTAGTCCCACCACTACTATGGTATTCATTTGGCAATTCCTTAGTTTTTAGTTTTAAAAATGTATGTTCTTTTCGGTGGTTTATAAGTAACACATGAAAACATTTGTGGAATTGTTTTTTAATAAAATGATAAAAAATTATGCCTGACATTAATTTCAATTGAAATAAACATTAGTCTAGAACATTGACGACCTCTGACATTTAGAAATATGTTTGTTTTCTCAATTCCTGTGGTGAAAAGTAATTTTTCATTTACAATTCTACCCCACAACGGGACAGGTTAGTGCAACCTCAAACAGAAATTTAACAATTAGGACACGCAAACACCGGAACTTTGACCCAAACTTAGGCAACCAACATTGCACAGCTGATACTGTCGACTAAAAATCTAAATCTTGGCATCGGCAATATTAATGATTCGTTTACAATGAACAATGGCAGACTGTTATGTCTACACTCGAGATAATGCGATTGCTGGTTGGTTGAATAAAATCTCTTGAAAAATTACACCAATTACCAATTATGTTTTAACGTAATCTTGATCTTATTTCAATAATTTTTAATTTTGACTAAATTTAATTACCAATACGAAGAAAATAAACAAAATTGCTGGTCACTGTAATCGTTTATGAAGGCTTTGAATTAGTGATGGGCAGAATTGAATATTTTTAAGAATCAAAACGATTATCTAAGAACTTAGTGTGGAACGGAAGACTGAAAGTTGTACAATGAACGTTATAACAGCTGCGTAGGTAGATTTACATTTTTATTATATAAAGTTTTCTCATTGTTTACAAGTCAGTTTACTGATTTATTCAATAAGCTAAATCAGTAGTTCAAATATTTCCCGTACTTGAGAACTCACATCTTGCGTGATATCTGCTAAGTAGCCTGGCAACTATCGTGAACCAAAAGTATTCGAGTACTTTCAGCAAGCATCCCAGAATAAAATCCCAGTAAAATTAAGCTTAATAAAACCAATACTGCACTATTAGTCTAGTTGCTATCTGTTTCGGGATGGATGTTTTATATAGTAATGCTAATTTTCGTTGGATATAGTTCTAAATATTATGTAAAATGATAATTGGGATATGCGCCTGCTGAAAAAGTTGTGCATAAGTGTTAGCGCAAGAAAATATTAAAAAAAAAATTAGAAAGTGCACTAATTCCAACAAAAATTAACATTATTATATGAAACATCTATACAACCTACTTTTAAAACAGATACCCACTGGACTATATGTAAATTTTCTTTCAATTCCATTAAAAACAAAAATTTCACAGAAAGATACAAAACTAAAATAAACGTGATAAAATGAAGCAGTTACAATCGGCGTTTCTCATTTCACAGAATTAACGTTGGCCATTTGCGTCTAGTGTTCTGTTGTCATATCACATCAGGTGGATTAATATGTAATTTACCTAAACTAGGTTAATATCACATGTCAGTGACACTAAGATTCACAAACTAAACACAGTGCTTTAAAAAACGCAAACAATATATTTTCTCAAAACTGAAATTACAGTGAAAATTGGTTATAACATTGCTTTATACGACATATTGGATATAACGACGGAATTTGGAAGTCCCGATGAAATCCTATAGAAATACCATATTGAAAATATCGCTTACATCAACACCGTTTACAACGACATTTGGGATTTACCGACGTGTTTTTATATAAGTTTACCATAGAATCTATCGGTTATAACGACCAATATTGATATATGGCCTTCCGCCCACCCCTCCGGCATCCATGCTTTTGACAGCAGTTTGGGACAAATCTACTTATCTACACAAATATTTTCCCACTTTCTATCACAATATCGAAGAAAAAAGTGATTAATAACGAAGAAAAATCACATAAAATATAGAGACTAGAAAACGGAGAAACTAATGCAAGCAAACAAAAGAATGTGGGGCGTCATACTACGATTTCAACAATTTGGAAAGATAGAAATAAAATAAAGTCTATTCGAAAACAATTCATTAAAAATGAAGCACAGGAAATATTTTGAACACAAAGCGATATATGTACATACTTAAAGACTTATATTATAAATTTCTCATTTTTTCTATAAAAATATTAAATAAAATATATGTAATTGCTTATTACTTCTATCGGTTATAACAAGCCTAAACAAACGGTCCCTTGAAGGTCGTTATAACCGATTTTTACTGTATTTTAAAAGATATTTGAAATCTATTAGATTAGTAAATTGACACATTTTTAATTCGGTGCTTTGTTCGTATTAAAAAAATATGATGACTTTAAAATAACACATTACAAAATCATTCAGAGCCAGTCTGTTCATTTCTGATTTTGCAAAGATTTTCTGGAATTTTTTCATCATGAAAGTTGTCGGTGTGCCCTGAGTGCAAATGAATTGAAAATGCTGTAAGTATATTAAATTTCACATTCTAAGGAAACAAGTGAAAATTATGGGGGCTGCTCCCTGACCCCTCGACTCTCTCGAACACCTCACTGTCTTGACACCACAAAAGGTCTTCAAGATTGCATTGAATATGTTACAAAACTTTAAATAAACTTAATGTCTATTATTGAAGAGGATTCTATAGCAAATAGATAACCACCAATACATTTTTATAGATTTTATTACACAGTTTGTCTAAATATGAATCAATGTACAAATAACGGACCCAAAAGTGGCAAATTACAAATTTCTTTACAACAAAAAGTAATTTGAGTTTCAAACTAAGTCCATTTTATAGAAAATCTGCGTTAGAATGGAGGAGTAGTACATTGTGTAACGAGTGAGGAAAAGTTGCCAATAGCGCCACGCAGGCCTAAGTGGCGCTATGGCAACTTTTCCGAACGAGTTGCACATACTATTCAGCGTTGCGCTATGAAAATAACATCACGCCGTTGTACTATCTGACACTTTCCGTGTATATAACCCGTACACTATAGGTCCCACAGCGAGCGTGCGTGATAGAAAGTCTGTTATTTGTGCATCGATTTATATTTAGACAAACTGTGTAATAAAATCTATAAAACTGTATTGCTGGTTGCCTATTTGCTATAAAACCCTCTTAATGATTTAATCACAAATATATTTCAAAAATTGAATAATATATGTCCTTACCTTAACTTTCCATTTACTGCACAGCGAAAGAAGGGAATTTGGGCAGGAGGATCAAATATTTGGTTTCTTTTTTCAGTCTAACAATAGATTTAGTTCAACAATACTTAAATAACTGATTGTAATATTACTAATATTTAAGTGTAAAGAACAATAATTTTAAATTTGGAAATATTTCATTACAAAGTTTTTGCATCCTTTTTAATATAATCCTTGTAAAAAAGTAATTTTTATTTTTAAACATATTAAAACGCAATTATATAAATATTTGTAAACTAATTAAGTATGAATTAAAATTAATATAATCTTAAATATAGAAATTAGAAATACATATAATCGCAAAAAGTTTTAGTATAAAGAATTACAAAATTGATAATCAAATAAGGCATTAAATATATAATTACAATTTATCACATTTATTTAAATTTTATACAGAAAATGGCTTGTTTTTTGGAAGGTACCTGTGCCTACAAACTTACTATATATAAAAAAAAACAGGTTTAAGAAAATTTGTTGGTCGGTACCTCCATGTTATTAAACCCACAACACTTTTAGGGACTGACTTCCAATCTCTTCAGAAGGTGTGGAGTTCCACCTTTTATGCTGAGGAGATGCCAACGAAGACGATGGTTTCTGCCAAAGTTTATAGTCGCTTATTACAGTCTTTTTCTGCTCCACTTGTTTGTTGCAGGTGTTATTTGACAGTACAGTGTTATCAGATGAATATTGCTCCAGTGACAAATTTAAGGAACTGTAATCGGTGTTGTTGTGTAGCATACTGCGGAGAAGGGCATTCTTTGTACAAACCTGAAAGTAAAATTCAATTAATAAAAATACATTAATTTAAATATTTGTTACCTCATCAGTCATTGTAGAATTAATTGTAGGTAGCCCAACTTCCTGAAAAGAGTTCATAGAAGAGAATCCGCTCTCGTCTTCTACCGAACTTATACTTCCAGTTGCGGGGGACGTTGATTTTTCCGATTTGTTTTTTGTATTATTAAAAACACCGTTATCATTGGGAAACTCAGTGTCGCTTTCGGCTACTGACCCTCTAGCTGAGTCGACATTCTTGAACATCTGCTTCGACACAGAATTTCTCTTGACCTCACTCAATTGCAAAGACAATTTTCTATTAAATGCAGTGGAAATTTTCACTTCGGTTTCGGGAAGAATCAGTTTGGGACTAAGGGAAAAGGAGGTGGTTCTCTGAGGCTTATGATCAGGGGTGGGGAACTCTTTTGCGAGCTGTGCCAAGAATTCTATATCATTTTCCGGTTGGTTGCTGACTTGGGCGAGATCTGGCTCTCGAGTGTTCAGTAAAGACTGAGCAGTTCGTAAGAGCCGAAATGCTTCCTTCGCCAGTTTCTCGGGAGGGATTTCTTCTGGGGAGGGCTCCTCTTCCTTGTGCAGCCTCCTTGAAACAAGAAATGATACATGAGAAATTGGGGGCACGATCCAGATTTAGTTAAAAATTAAAAAAATTAAAATTAGGAAAAATAGAAATTAATCGATTTTAATGATGAGTGTTTTTTGTACCTGTATATTTATCGCTTATTTTTAGATAAGTATCAAATTTGTGCACAGGTACACATTGTATACAGTTTTTTCCTTAAATTAAACTGAAAAATAATTTTCTTAAACATTTCAGATTCAAAATGAATTTATCATTTATCAGTTGCCTCTTACTTTAATAATTAAGTTCTTTAACAAGTAAATTTTAAAAAATTGATATTTATTACCTCGTAAAATCTTTAAATGCCATATAATCGTCCATGCACATGTTGAGCCCCGGCGTTAAGGTGGAAGTGTCGTTATTCCCGTTGCTATTTTCATTTAGTATCTGATGCTCACTTTTTGATCTGGGAACTGAGTTTTTCCTGTTTATCCGATTCCCTAGAAGTTCTAAACTGTGATGAGCTTTTTCTAAAAAAGTCACAACCTGTTTCATGACCGCCTGGTACATTTCCCTACTCTTTTGTATCTGAAAAAAAAATGGTTAAGTAGGAAATCCATCAAGATCGAATTTAAGATCGTTTGTGATCAATTTTTCCCATTAACCTTTGGTATTCCTTAAATTTTGTGGCAAACACGGTTTATTAAAATTTTAATCCTGTTTCTTTTGTTGGAATTACTATGAAAATTTTATTAAAATAACATAACTACACCTGGCCAAACTACATCACTTTTAATTTATGGTCATGGATAGTTACAAAGATATATTTATTGAAGAAAATGATTTCCCCAGTAATTTTCTATGAGTGAGATAAAACAATGTTCTTCATCTGTGAACGATCGCTGCCTCTCAATGCCTGGTCCTTAATATGGTCAAGCTGGCAGAGAGCGACCTGTTGTTTCACAAGTACTAAGATAACAAGACTTGTGTCCTTACAATGGAAATAATGATGAAGTGATATCGCGGAAAACAATACTTTTCGGATTATTGATAAGCTTACCTAGTAAGTTAGAAATCGGTATATGTGTGGTGGTTTCTGCTGCCAAATAATCCTAGCTATTTAAAGATATTAGGGTTACACAATAAAACCATTGGATACAGGGTGCTGTATTTAAAAAACCTGAGAGAATATAGTTTCAAATCTCTCAGAATTGATATCTTCATATGTAGAAATTATTCGGTATAAAATAAATGGCTATTGCCATTTGAAAATAATTACAAATTTTGATAGATCATGTTTTCATAAAATTTAAGGAATTTCATAAATAATTTGGCAACACCTTAACCAAATTAAAAATTATGTTATATTTTAAATCATTTTAAAATTTAATGTTTGGATCAAATTTGAATTTTATTTATCTCAAATAATAACAGAGCTATTGTACTTTAGTAAACTACAATTTTAAAAAGTATACCTTCCAGTTTATATTTTGACCTAATACATAAAATGAATTTTAATTGGATTCGATATTTTTTAAATAAAATTGCAATTCAGTTTTGTGCAAATATGTTTTTAACGAAAGTAGCTACGTCTGCTTTTTAAAGGAGATTGAAGTGTCATAGCTTTTCTTTCTCTTTTTTATATAAGCTGCTCACTTTGTTCTTTTTAAGATTGAGAAAAAATGGTAAAGGAAGTTGTAACTATCAACTAAACATATTTTATGCAGATAAGTAATTACATGTTTCAGTATTTCAGTAGAATGTTTTTTTAGGAACACCATAATATAGATTTGATGACTTATAGCCATTTACAGTCATGCCCATGGCATGTTCTAATAATATCTTCTTTACAATTAAAAATAGACTCAATAAAGCTCATTTCATTGTAGTACTGGAAAAGTGTTTTATTCTGGTATGAAATTAGGTATAGGGTTAAAAAAAATCGTCACGCTAGTTAAGGGCCCCATATTCTTTAAATAGTGTTTTCCGCAAAGACAAATAATTTCAAACATTTAATAACTGAATATTCTAAAGCTTATCAAATAATAGGAATGTTATGTCATGCCACCTGAGTATTTTCAAAGACGCCGCAGTAAAACGAATAAACATGTGCAAAAAACGATCAAACCATCAAGGTTTTAGGTACTGAAATCTACGAAAATACTAACTTTTCTATATATAATTACATTTACTTGCTTAGTCCTACATATAAAATTGTTTACTTTTATTTATAAGTACGTGAAAATAATTCTTAAAATGTGGGGTTAGGGTAACAGCAAACGCATGTTTTACAAACGCTTAGTTATTATTTTATTTGAGTAAATTTAAATGGTAACAATGAATAAACAAAACATAAAGGATTTTATTTTTGTGCTTACTTTTGTTCTACACGTTTTACTTTTAAAGATTTCAGTACCTAAAAACGCCAGAAATTTCACTATTTCTCGGCCAGGAATATGGCCACCTTAAGGACACCCTTTATAAAATTCAATATCATCATAAAATACCTCTAGTACATAACTACAACTAGTCACTTCACTGCTACAACTCTTTTATGTAGTAACACTAAGTAACCCTTTTTGTGACCTTAAAATTAAGAATCAATAACTTGTTACAATTTTTTATGCTCTATAAAATCGAGTCAATAGGGGCCACACTACATCAGGCAGCTTTGACCTTACCTCTTTCAGTTGCCATTGCAACGTTTCTATTTTGGACTGACTCATTATATTTTCTACGGGAATTTCTGATAATCGGCTGGAACAGATCGAGGCTCTTCTGTTGCTGGTGATGATGCTACCGGAAAATCGTCGGGTGTCGTCCAGACTATTCCGAGCATTCTGTAATAAAAAAAAATAATTATAAAGTAGGCATTATCACAATTCAACGTAATTATAGGTTACATATTTTTTTATTGGAATTGGCTGGGAAAGCATCTTACTTTACTTAACAATGAAATATACTTAAAAATCTTCTGGATAATATCTAAATAATCTAAATAATGGATACAGTATTTCTTCATTAATCTACTTATTACTAAAGGGTCTCATTTAAAAAATAGGTACCTATGTGTCAGATCTACGTATTTAAAAAGAATAACAATAATAAATCTTTTTAATATTTAGACTTATTCGGAAGAAAATATTGAAAACCAATTATTATTTTCAATATTTTCTGGAGACATTGCTTACAACAATATTTAATATCTTGTAGATCATATTTACTTGGTGGCACGGTAGTTTCCGCGCAAGTGCCTTACAGACTATCTTTATTAATGCCATTAATTCTTAAAAATTATAAATTCAAATAGTAAAGGGAGAAAAACCAGTTCGCAAATTTTTCAAATCCATCATAATGTGAAGGCACAGTTAATACACTTGTACGTTGACAAGGTCTTCTTGCCTACTACATAACTGTTTTGTTATTTACTGTTCCTTTAAGAGTTTACATCGCAACTAACATGTGTACTCAGAATATAGAGGTATACATCATGTAAACATTTCAACCTCATATATCATCGTCAACGTAAAAGTACCTAACGTATTAGTTTTCGTGGTTATTCTTATTCCGCAACGTATCCATGATGCACCTGTTATTGTGTAACTTATAAATAAATTTTTATACTTGGTCGTTAAAAAATACTCATACAGATAAGTTTAACTAGAACGAAAATCGTGTCAATCGTATGTTTCGTACATAAATATGTTTTCTTTTTATATTTGCTTTGGAATTTCAATATTTGTGCAGTGTAAATAATACACCTATCTAATATATAGTTACAACTACGGTATCAAATTCGATGCATTTTATGATCTGCCTCTCTAAGCAGCTAGGTCAAACTCGTACGTTCATGTCTTCAATAAGGTTTTCAGAAGAAATAGATAGTTCTCTTCTGTTGTATACCACTTTATTAAACTATTTAAAAGGATGGACAACGGAACAGTGCGTGTACTATTGTACAGAATGTTTAAAAAAAACATGTACTCCAATCCAAAAATAAGACAAAGCTTGTACATACACACGCCGCTGGTAAATCTATGTACCATTATAAATAATTTTCATAACCCAAATTTCACTAAAAAAATTTAAAAAAAAAACGAAACAATAGCATCATGTATTTCAGGAATATGAAATATTGATGTTTTAGTTTTATTTCATTCATGGAGTTCATCTTATACGAAACTAGGTAAAATCATAATTTTTGTGAATTTATTTTATCATGAAAATGACTCTACTGTTCCCTCCTTTCCCTACGTTACTGATGTTCCTAGGATTATTCACTCCTGTCCAACTCTAATTAAAACGGCTTGTCTCTATATATTTTATGATAACTACATCTGTTCCTCAGGAACGATTAAGTTATCCGATGCAATTTCAGATAACGTCCCATACAATCAGCTTTTTTTTCATCCTAGGAGCGCAGATGTAATTGTTTTAACGATTTTAAATATCATAATTGAAAGCGGTATCACTGGAATGCATGGAACCGTGCGCAATTAGTTTTTAACTGCCTACTTTTAACTTGGAGGTTGTCTCGGTAGTATTTTTCAAATAGGAGGTATTCAGAGTAGACGACCAACTATGTGGGCTTTGTTATTTAGACGAGGTTAAAGCGAAAATATAAATTACGCTTTTCTGGAAATAGGGATGCAACTTTTTGATGTTTCATATTTTATACTTATTTACTACTTATGATAGTATTAGCTTACGATTTTTTCATCTTCCAATCGGGTACTTCGGATTTTTTAGCATTTTCTGAATTTTGGTTAGTTTTTTTTCACCCTTTTTGTATCATTTCTGACAGAAAGTCCTGAGTGGATTGGCCGCTAGCTGGTTGATATAGGCCACAAATTTTTAAGAGTCTTTTGAATCGAAATAAGTAAATTTTTACAATATATGTTACAAGCAAAGGGGTGCAATACAATACATGTTTTTTTGGACTTCGGTGAAACCCCAGTATAGCCTTGAGACTTATTGCCGTAAGACATTGAAAGGCAACGAATACGCTTGAATTCCGGTCGTGTAGTCACACTGTCAGAAACTTCCGCTCTGGTTATTGAACTACAAGATCTCATAGCTGACGTTCGGTCACACTTCGGGACGGCTCCGCAGATTCTCAGGGACTGCTACTCGGTTTGGATCCTAACATTCGACGTCTCAGGATTCGGACCATTCACAGGTATTGGCTACCGACGATATCGTGTCCTAGTTTGAATTTCCTAACATTCCTGACGTTTTCGTGAAAAACTGGAAGCTGGGGTGAAATTTTGGCGTCCGCGAGGTTCGTCGGTGTTTTCTTTATCAACAGCTTCGGAATCTCCAAATGTCTTCTGCTACTTTTTATACAGGAATTTTGTTGGACCTCTATGAAAGTTATTTTTGGATTAAAGTACTTTAAACCTATATTTTTCAAGAGTATACTCATAAATCCGTTCAATGAACTGATTGTCACATAAGAACCGGGATATAATTGGGTTATAAATATATTATGTCAGAAAGATTACCTAAATATGTTTGAACCAGTTATTTTTATGGACGGCTGCATTTTGTTCAAAGTAATGAAGTGATTTTTATTAAATTACTGTTTTGTTAATATTGAAACGGCAGTAATAATTCGCACAATTTATTTTAAAGGATTTGAAGCTTAATATATATAT